TACCGTGCATGTCTGCAGTAGCTACTACCGAGGTGTTAGCACACACGAGTCAAGGTATGCTTCGATGTATACATTTTCATGATCACACCAGCAAACGAAGTTAAAAGCAACTTCTACTCCTATAAGTCAATTGCAAATTGAACGGAGACGTTTCAATGCATGGTTCTTGCAGAGTAATCAGTTGAGCGCGTCAAGTACGTGGGGTTTAGTTCTAAGATGCATCGGAATGTTTTCGGAAAACAAGCGCGCACCGTTAATATAACTACGAAACAACGGGCACAAAAGGCTAGATCTAAACTACCAAAAAAAGTTAAAAGCGAAATACGCGACTAATGTGGGATAGAAAGATCAGCTATGGATGCTTAGTGTAAGACGAACAGGAAGTATGGAGCATCGCTAGCAGTTTCTGTAAGTGTATAGGAGAATGAGTCGCCTGCACTCTGCGTACATGACAGGCAGCCGTTCTCTCAACACTCCGCGGCCCACTTACACTTTCATGAAAGCTGCTCGATCAATGCAAGCCTCGAAAGTGAATCAACAACACAACACTTGTTCTTCAATCGATTCAAGGCATACGGCAGAGCTATTCAAATCGAATAATTTAATCAAGGGTTATTGTTGCACTTTCAAATAAAATCACGTCAGAGCGAGTTTTCACTGAACGAGTGGGTTCAACTGAAACTATAATTGTAAATAATTTCTTTTAAACAACTCGGACGGCACTGACATGATTCATTCGATTGAAATGCGGCCGCCATTTCGGTAGCGGGGTCGTGCATGGTAGAAAGGGGCAAGGCTCGGCTTCGGCGCCCGGAGAGCTTCCGTTGCAGGGTGACAACTTCCGCGCTCCCCAACACAACTGGTGTCATCATCACTGACGGTATCAGAGGAACGCGCGGGAAAGCTCAAGCCAACAACTTTCCCACTCGCTTATGAAAGTAGCGGATATAGTCATTTCTTACTAGATCGTTAAAATTTATTATATAAATTGTAGTCTGGTGACAACTGATTATTTGAAAAGTAACGATATAAAATACGATGCGCTCACAGTATAGTATCTTTGTTCTTGAATAAGTTACAAAACAGTACCTACCGTAGTATGCTCAAGAGGTAGTTTCATTAATATGGTACTTAGCTAAAGTGAGTCTATTTGTTGGCCTGATGCTCGCAGTAACACATATACTACGATGAAGTAACGACGTGAGACAAGATGTTAGCAATCTACAGCAGCCTCCATGAGCAGGTAGCGTACATTAGTGCCCGACCACCAAGCCGTGGGCAACATTGAAGAAAAGATATGTCAGCTTAACTTGACAGGCAGAAGAAAGGAGAACTGTGGCTACTAAACGCCTTCAGGATTGTCTGACAAAATGGCAGAGACAGTTGGGATGGCATCGACAGCAAATAGCAGACCAGTGACATGCAACGAAAACTATGATCTTCGTATTAAGCGAAGTAGTATGTAAAATGTGACGCTTGAAACGGAAACGTAAACAGCGAAACTGTTGATAATTAATCTATTGTAAGCTTTCATAATAAAATATAAATCCAATCAAACAGAAGTTCAAAAATTCGGCAGGGATTGAATTGATTCACTTTCGGCATGCATGCTTGCGAAATTGCGAATATGGAGTAAAGTTTGGAAGATACTTCTGAAACACTCGACAGAGCCACATCAGGGCTCCCATTAAGGATAGCGAGTGGCAAATCACTATTAAGTGTTCTTGTTCTCCTTATGCTCGATATAATCTTCATGTTCAGTGTCCACACCGGCTGCGCACGGTGTTTTTAAAGCCCCGCCTGAGGGAAGCATGCCACTGCACGCCACATCTCAATGACAAAGACAAGTTGTGAGAAAATCAATAATTGGTTCACAGATGAAAACCAGTGCGCAATCAATACTACGACGCAGCGTGGGACATGGTCGATGGTGTTGGTAGTACGGCACGCTATAGCGGCCAGTGCGTGCACCGACACATGTGTCAAGTTGAACAAGCAGAGCCATGCATTTTGCGTTCTATAAATGATATTTGCATCGTATACAAGCCTGTTATAATCAGCAGTTCTCAAGTATTACAGAGCGGTTCATAGTTTAATAAATGAAACATGAATGCATATTTCGTATGGCCTCGAGATATTAGATAACCCATTCATGCACGAGTCGCTTTATTCAGTAAACACATAAAATAAATTAGATAAATGAGTTAGAATTTCATTCATGATTGGAATATGAATGTTTCAAGAAGCAAGTATAGACTAGCAATGAGACTATTAATCGGTAGCAATGAGAGTGGAGTAGATATATGAACAGGTACACAAAGAAATTTCGTAATTGAGGACCAATTTGTTGGACTCAAGCGTAGTTCATCCCAATTTTTCTGACATAAGACGTAGGTAAAGAGTACCTAGCTAATTTAATTCAAATTTTGAATTGAATTTTACCTGTTTTCTTCTTAAATTAAAATATAAAACCGATCATATGAAGCAGAGATGACAGCAATGCAATCCCCTAGTGTTTTATGGACACATTCTGAATGGATAATGAATTATAGGAAAAGCAAAGACCTATTGAAAGGCATGTGCAATGTATATAGATGTTCATCGAAGACAGAAGTTCTCAGAGAGAGCGACCTTGCGTGGCCGCTATACTCACACAATCAGCGCCTCTCTTGCCAGTATCTTCTGACTATCACATCAGAAATCAGATACACGGGCTTATCTACTGCTGCTCCTTGTCCCTCGTGTGTATACTACACGATGTTTATATTTATTGTCTTATAGATTACATTTCATATACTGGGCAGAAGATTTGGTAAACGAATGTATAAACTTCAAACAAGAAGAAATTATTGCTCCACTCAGAAACGCAGCCCTAACTATAGAATCAAAAAATGAAATTCAGCATTTTGAATTTGATTGTTTGGAAGCAAGACGTATCTAATTGATTGGCTGTATTACTGATTCAGCCAATTGCAACTCAATTCAAAGCGGCCAATTTGAAGTCAAAGCCAAAACATCTGAAGCCATTTTTAGAATAAAAGCAATGTTTTGAACTAATCGTCATTATTATCATCAAAGCTCGATACCATTTGCTTATTAGTAATTTACTACTACCTCAAATCTCCTATACTAATGCATTACGCACTAGCTATATAAACAATAAAAGTTATACCGTAATTCAACAACATAGTACTTCAGTAACTTGACGGTGGCCACAGCAGTGACAAGTCTTCATAATGCAGCCCGTGGAGGAAGGAGATATTCGACTCATGAACAGGCGAATGGTCCGATCCATGGTTGAACTAGTATAAGGTTGACCCATCAGACGCCCATTTTTGCGGTTGTAGTTCGTTGTTTGCCTGTGACGTCACTGATCTCAGTGACGTCACGGGCATTAACCAATCACCAAAATGCAATCAAACCAGTCAACCAATCCGTCAGGGGAATGACGGGTTTGTTTACGTTTCTCGATCTACGTGACGTAACAAGAAAGCTGAACTGAAAGACGGAACTTCTCGTGGGCCAGCTTATATAGTTCAACCATGGTCCGATCGGTCCTCTGATCTTTAAAGCCGTCCCTTCCAACGCTTCACGCACATGGACGCATCGTCCGAATTATAGAAGCTGCGTACAAACAGTATATATAACTTCACTTAGCGGTTGCAGATGTCATCAAATACGTCTAAGGCCAACATACAGCCATAAAGAACACTGTCTGAACAGGGAGATAATTTGGAAATGAATTACAATCCACTTCGCTTATCAACAAATCTTCTGATGAAAAAGAGCCGCATACAAGAACTAAGTCGTTAATTTACACAAAGTCAAGCTTTCGGTTAAAAGGAAACCGTCGCTCATTCCCGAGTGTTTGAGAAACCCCACCACCGAAAAGATTTTAAAATAGTTGTATTTTACAGGTGCCTATCAGAGGTGAAAAACGCTATTTTCTGAAAATATGGCATAATAAACATTTCTGTATGAATAAATACGCATAAAAAGTGGCGTACTTATTACCGATTTCATTGCTATCCAAATTACGTAAATTTTTGCTGCTAATGTCACCTGTAACTTATTTTTTCTGCATTATTTTTAAGATGAGGGATGGAGTGAGCAGAGGCTGCTAACTCTGCATGGCAGCACGGGTAGAGGAACAGGCAAGCAAAGAGACCGCAGCGCTGACGTGACCTCGATCAATATAGCGTGAGTAGCATCTGGCACGTGTGGCATGATGGGTGGTGTGGTGAGTGGCATGATGGGTGGTATGGTGAGTGGCATGATGGGTGGTATGGTGAGTGGCATGATGGGTGGTATGGTGAGTGGCACGTGTGGCATGATGGTGGTATGATGTGAGTGGCATGATGGTGGTATTTGAGTGGCATGATGGGTGGTATGGTGAGTGGCATGATGGTGGTATGGTGAGTGGCATGATGAGTTGTATGGTGGGTGGTATGGTGAGTGGCATGATGGGTGGTATGGTGTGTTGCACAATGGTTGGTATGATGTGTGGCATGATGGTCAGTATGGTGAGTGGTATGATGGGTGGTATGGTGTGTGGATTGATGGGTGGTATGGTGAGTGGTATGGTGAGTGGTATGGTGAGTGGCATGATGGGTGGTATGGTGAATGGCACGATGGTTGGTATAGTGAGTGGCATGATGGGTGGTATGTCGTTATATGCCACTCACCATAAAAATGTCCAGTACAGTGAGTGGTTGATGGTTGTATGGCCAGTGGCATGATGGGTGGTATGGTGAATGGCATGATGGGAGGTATGGTGAGTGGCATGATGGGAGGTATGGTGAGTGGCATGATGGGAGGTATGGTGAGTGGCATGATGGGAGGTATGGTGAGTGGCATGATGGGTGCACTGGTGAGTGACAAGAAGGGTGGACTGCAATGCAGCAGTGACCAGAATTCAAGCTTGTTATCTCATTAAAGCATTGAATTACCTCCAAGTCATGGATCTATAGCTAGGTCAACAAAATGTTTATACTACTCACCGTATTGTCTCAACGATGTCATAGGCACCATCATTTTTATCCTGAAAGAAAATAAATTCTTGATTAGAAAAATTTCTGGCTTTTAATCAAAATGAAATTGTCAGCATTCAGCAAGCTTCAGAATTTGTTCACATGCTATAAAAATAGGGAAATTATGTACACAAAAAATTTATTATACATTAGCTAGTCATATCATTAGTGACATCTCACTTTTCTTTATAATTCAAGCATCAAATCAGTTTACTCTTTGTATCTAGCAGTAAGCAAGTCGGATGGCACTAAGTAACTGCTGCAAGAGGCTTCTAATTGTATAAGGTAGAAATTTTTTGTGAAGTAGAAAATAGGTAACTAAAAATTATTCATCTCTCCCAGAAGTGTTTGTGCACCAACTGTTTTAGTTGAGAAGTTTGCCTACATAGTTTGGGAACCATTGTTCAAAAACCATAGATGATCACATTCATGAAAAAAATACCATGTAGCCTTGCATCATGTATACATTACTTGCCAATCATAAGTAAAAAATCTGATTACTATATTCCATGTATTAGCAACATTTAACACTAATTAACTAAGAAAACCAAAAAATATAAATATATATGAAGTCAAGGTAGTTTTTAACATTTTTTACAAAGCCTCAACATCATACAATGCAATTGTTAGGAATCCAATTTTGTGCACCTTGCAAGGACATAGGATTTTCCTGTTAAGGGTCCTTGCAAAACCCTTTATTAAAGTGCAGTGCAAATTACAAGTCACTTCAGTTATATATAAAGAATATTTATACCTTAAAGTTTAATAAGGATTTGAAGAATTTAATAGGATTAGATCAATGATTCTAGTTATGGCTCATTGACTCAACAATGTTCAAATATTCATAAAATTTCTAAAAATTTCATAGTGAAATGAATATATACTTTCCAGCTTCATAAATTAGGATTCTATGGGTTGAAAGACTGGATTTAAGCTTTTAAAAAGATTTATAAAAGATTTCTTAAATTTAAGTGGTATTCTTGCCTGGATTTTGCATGGGCCCTTTTTTCAACTGTTTGTAGTTTCCTATTTTGATAGTTTTGTTGAATAACCAATTACATAGCAAAAATGTCCAACAATACAAAGACCAACTACATAGCAAAAATATCCAACAATAATTTAGCTTGTGAGCATTATAGGAAAGGTGAAATCTTTACACATACCAAGGAAACAAACCCATCTTCCAATCCAGGCATGAAACAGTATTGGTCCAATCCAGGCAGTATTACAGTCATGAAAAATATCTACTTTCACAGTCATACCTTACCAAGTTTACCCACTATGCAGAAATAGGAATTATGCCACATTCCCCAAGATCAGGTCTTTAGGGTCTTAATGTTGTGATTGTTGCCAGTATTATTGAGGATTTGCCAGAATGACCTAAACCTTATAGATTAATTGTCAAAAATATATACCTGTACATATAGAGTTACCTAATTAAAGAAGAATGTGTTTGCAAGATGCAAGATCTACTGAAAAAATAGAATTTAATGTTGATTTTTTTTGCATTAGCAAAGATCTTTAAAAATTTACTCACTCTCTCAGTCTCTGCACACTAGTACATTACTATGATTAGGTACTAACAGAAAATAATGGCTGTAAAAACTGAAGTTAAATAGAATTATTATAAACGTTTACATTAGTTATTAGTTGAATTTAAAATTTATTTTCCAAAGCATTAGGTTTTTATAATGACAAAACTTTTAAAGCTTTGAAAATGCAGTTACCGGAACATTCAAGTCTCTGAGACTTAGTCATAAGCTTTATACCAAAAGGTAGATATTTTCGACACCTGCGTATTCCATAGCTGCCTCTCGAGTCTCGAGAAACAACTTGATTCAAAGTGATTGGCGAGTTGTGGCACAAGTGAACGTCCGATTTACCCACTATAGAGAATAAAAATTTCAATCATATTTAATATAATCGTTCATTTCAATGTCCTAACTTTAAAGAGACTGCATGAAATCTTAAAAATATTCATTTACCGAGCCCGATGTGGAGAGAGGCCACGTGAAAACGAAAGGCTCGACTCCGGCTGGAGAATGAAGCTTGAGCTCAAAGGCATTATTATCAGCACTGCACTTTACGGTGGACATATTTCACTATATTTACATCACAAAACACATCTTCTGCTCTCTCACTCAACACTTTGAGAACAACGAATCAATATAAACAACTCTACTATACACTGACTTAGAATGAAACAGCCCCATTTTTAGCATTGGAGCAAAGATAGAAACACACCATCACTCACAAGGTCTCCAGCATCACTGATTAGAAAACGGCTACTGCGCAAGCTGTACGCGCATCATAATAACAACACTAACGGGCGGAATAAAATTGAAAGGAGACTAAATTATTTCTGTTGAAGGTACTTCTGTTTTGAAATTGAAGATTTCATCGTCATTTACATTGAATATGTTACAATTTCATATTTATATGAATTGTATATGAATACAATTTCATATTTATACGACTAGTTGGTTAAATTCTGCATTTTTATTAATCATATAATTCAAATTGATTCAAGGAGAGTTCAATTGAAATTTTTTCAAACGTTTACTGATTTTGCGAACTTTAGAAACGAGAATTAAATAATGTAGTATATCATACTGGAACGAATTTAGTTTGAAGTGGAAAACGCTATTGCGATGGTGTACAACAAAACTCATGAGGATTATCCGAAACTCATCCAAAACTAATCCCAGCATCGTTAAAAGTTTACAAACAATTCAGTAAAAAATTATTGGCATTACACAGCTATTTTAATGGATTAAACGATGAGATTTGAGAGACTGTAATTTGCTTATACTGCAGATATATCTATGAACAAATCTGCAATTGTGTTATTACCGATTATCCCCACCCAAGTTTGGTTATCGTGTTTAAATAATCAAGATAAAGATAAAATAGTTTAAGATTCTCAACATATAAAAGAGTTTGCATCTTTAAACTATTTTAATACTATAGCTATGGGTCGGAAAAACCTAATTTACATTTCTCAAAGTTCAATTTGCGTTAACTCCGTTGTCGAGTCTACAACTGAAATTTCTGTTCGATGTCAACAAATCACAACTAGTATGAGTAGATGAATATTCATCCCTAAAAAGTAATGCAGTGCAATCAAATGGTCGATGTGCAATTATTAATAACACTGCAAACGAAATTTAAGCAGAGACTAAAACCGAGAGCGGCATGCTAAGAATTCCCTTACCACTTGAGAATTTACCCATGTTGAATTTGGGATTACAAGGTGCCATTATATCATAGGAACATTTAGCAGGACTCGTCTCAACTGCAGAAAAACAATAGTTAATTAAGCTCGAGGCAGTTCAATACAAAACACTTTCGTGTCGCACTGCATATTTTCAGGGAAGAAGCAAACCAAAAAGAATATATTAAGAATTTATTCGAGTCTGCCACAGAAATATAATCATCAAGATCAAATGTTGGCATGATAACGGTAAATCATTAGCATTTGATTGCTATTAACAACCTGATGTCATGTACGCAGCAAACCACGATTTCGAGGAGAACAGATGGCTAGAAACACCATACGTAAGTAAATAAATGAGTGAGATTTAGGTCGAGGAATTCATTGTGATATTCCATACTCTGACTCTGTTTTCATGGTACATGAGTGACATTCAGTTCATAGTAATTCAGTCGTCCTAGCTCGACTGACTCAACCGAAAAGCGAAGTATAAATACAATCCGAGACTGTTGAGTCAGCGTCTCTCATGCGAGCGAGTGTCCCTGTAAACTGAAAAAGTCATAACAATGCTAAAAGAATGAGGTCTGTTGGTATGCATTATGGGCAAGATCAGCCTCAATGTCCATGTTATAAATTATACGACCTCGATCTACTGCCACAAATAATTATAAATAATAGTATAATTTATGCTGTGAATGACACAGTGCACGATCCCATGCAGCGTAACACTATTTTGGGTGTGAAGATACTTGAGCATTTGGCACGCGACAGTTCAAGACAGCTTCATTGGTAACAGTCGAGCAACGCACCTAATATGAAAAGTACGCGATAATGAATTAATAGCAATACTTGCATCACACTTTGCAATAGTGAATTGAAATGACAGCAGGGAAGTATAACAAGAACGGGTATTTTTTACAAACAAAATGATGCAATGAAATACAATAAAATGTAGATCGAAGCCATACTGAAATCAAGCCAAATGTAGAACAGCTAAAGAAAATTGTGACTGAAAATAAAAGTCTTCTACGAAAACCTAATCGGTGTTTTCTGGAGCAATGAACATAAAATACAGTTTATTTATATGGCTCAGTCACATCACTGAATAATACGGATAAGTAACAGCAGAAAACTAGCATAATTGGAAGACTTCAATAAAACATAGTAAATGCATGAGATACGTAATATGTGAATGAACGTACAGTTGCAATGACACCAAAATGAAGACCAGTAATCTTTACTGTCTTCTGTCCTAGCGATAGTAACGACTGCCCAAGTTGACCATAACAAGACTGGTCTGCGATGGTTGCATTCAAACTCTAGTGATGCACAGAATCTGCAACGTGAAACTTGAGGTTCGATGTTCAATTACTTGAAGGCACAATATAAAATCTGAGCGTCGGAATAACTCTTGACTTACTATTTTAAAAAAATTTAACTGAATATTTGAACTAAACAGGGCTAATCAGCGGCGTCATATTTCCATCAACATCGAACACGTGAATTTACGAATGCAAATTGTAAATAAATTAAGCACGAACTAACGAAAATTTGTACATGTTTCAAGGGGATCTTAAACTATTTTTCAATGAGCTGGCAAGTGCATGACTTGTAATAGTTTTCAAGGATACAGAAATAAATGCAACAATACGCGCAGTCCATATAAAATCATACATTTTAACGCATAAGAGTTATTCGTGTATACCTCCTCAAAATTACTTCACAATAAGCTAGCTCTGAAAAATGGCAACGCACGGGCTAAAAAAAAGGTTATTTATGGCAAACATTAAATAAAAACATGACTTACAAGTATTAATTTATTCTGAGATAAGCACAGGGCGAACACTCCATAGTGAGGGAAACATGATTTTAAGAATACAAAAATTAACCTAACTGATTATAATCAAGCGACAATTTACATCCGTTTGTTAGCATTAGCATCATGGAAATAAAATGGATCAAAAGAAATTGATTATTAATTAATTGATTAAAGAAATTTATAAAAATCAATTTACATTGTATTAGAATTAAGACAAGTAAATTTTGACAGACATTAGAGTTTTCATCTCTTCGTCGGCTGCCATTACGAACATACCGGTAAAATCACTCTTCGCTAAAACACGAGACTGAACTCTAATTTCTTTCTAAAATCGGAAATTCCTTACCGAAGTGCCACAATTGATAGTAAAATTTTAATTTCCCTTTTTGGCGAATCCCAATTCATAATATCGTGAAGTGCATGATAACATATTATCATGAATTGAATAACATATGGTCATATTATTATGTCATCACAATTCAAGGAAAACAAACATGCATAAAGAGATTAGCAACAGAGCTTCCGCATTATAAGTTTAGCTGACGATAGACTTGAGAAACTGAGCGGTCACATCGTATCGAGAAAAGAACACGATTTGAATAATATTCTAACACGGGAACGCACTCACCTCAACATGCCAACACATCATTACCGCGAATAAAGGACTAGAATACAATGTCCATGGCATTACAAACAACAGAAAAACCATAACGCACCACTAAATACCACGTTCACAAGCACGCAGTATTTCGTATACGATAATTCTTCATGCCACGCATGCCTCCAACACGCAAGCACCCTCTGAGACCTGCAGATGTAAATTACATACAACACGGAATCTCCAGCCAGAGATGTGCAAATACTTTCCGAAATTTTTAAAATTAGACAAATTACCAGAAGGAGATTCTTACAAGCACACTTGAACAATCGCAATTACAGCAATTTACTATAGAAAAAAGAGCGAGACTCGGGCATAATAATTAAAAAAAATTAACAATTTGATTTAGCACTAAAAACACGACATCCTAAGGCAACGCTTCTTAATCTCACACTCACCCTCAGACAATAGGTGACTATTTATTACCCATCTTGGCACTAGTCATTAGTTTAGATATAAAAGTATTGATGTCTTGTGAACGCGAGATGTATGAATGAAACTACGATATTATAAACGAAATCAGTGGCAAACAATTGAAGATGAAATTCAACTGTACGGTTATCGCGTTTAAAACAAAATGTTATCTCCCTGTATATGAAGATTGGCAAACAAGATATACGGCAGTTCAAGAGTCAAGCAAACAAAGACAGAAAATTAAAAATGACAACAATCATGAACGTAGAGATATACGGTAATTACTGGCAAAAAATATAAAAAATACGCGTCTTTACTAAAACACAAAGTACAACATAAAATTGAAAATTAACGAATTGGCTTTAGAGAAAACTCCAGGGAATCTCAACTTGCTTGCTACAAATATGGAGCAGAATTGAGCAAATTCGTCACGCATGCATGAGAACTGACAAGAGAACATCGATCACAGTTGACCACCACAAAATATAACAAATCTTATGACATGATTAACGTGCCGAGCTAGAATTCAACTAATAACCAACCTTAGTTTATGAGATATGCTAGCCGCAACACAGAGATAACGGAATAATAGCATAAATATTAGTGTTTTATAACAATAACAACAAAACTACAACGCATTATATTATAATGTTAAAGTACTTTAGAATTGAGATATAATTATTGACACTTGAGACAACTTCCACTTATGCAGTCAAATGGCACTTTAAAGCCACGAAATGGGCAGCTAACAGTTATGAGCCACGAGCTAAAACGCCCGCAGTTACAAACTCTCACTTTTTTTAAAGATAGAACGGCAGCAGATGCACTAGCGGAGACTATGGCAGAAGTGTTACCCCTGGGTGAAATTCGTGGCCGATGTGGTACCCATGACTGGTATGGTACCCGTGGCAGTGGTGGTGCCCGTGGCTGCGGTGGTACCCGTGACTACGGTGATACCCGTGGCAGAAGTGGTGCCCGTAGCAGTGGTGGAGCTCGAGGCAGCAACTGAGGCATTCGTGGTGGTAGCGGCACCAATCGAAGAGATCGTCTGTACAACGTCGCCCCCTACGTTGATAAGGCACTGACCCTGGACACAAATTATCAATTACAGCAACTACTGAAAACTCTTGCTATTGAAGACATCTGTAGTGATCAGGAAGCGTAGCCATAGAAAAAACTGAATTTAGGCGAGTTTTTGTAGCATTGGAACCGTCATTTTGTAACCAGCACCGAGCTTGGGCAGTTGCATAGATGTTCCTTCATTCAGCCAGAATGATTAATTAATCATTGAGCATCACAAAGTTCGCAGCACAAATGCCGGGTTGCAAGGTGAAGCTGTGGAGGAGTAAAAATGGACAAGTACACATAAGATGTTGAATCAGATGACATGAAACTGGACCTCACCTCTATAAGCCAGCTGGATTGAGCAAGTGATCCAGATAGATTTATGTTGAATGCACGAACCATCATTCCAATGACTCCACCTGCCTGGGGAAATTTTCAGGCTAGTGCCATTTGAATTCGACCTCATTTCTTGCTATTACTCGTGAGTGAAAATCGGGGAAGTAACGTAACAATTTTTATCACGTTTTTCTTAGCTCGCTTTCGTGTCTGTGATGATCAAATCTTGCAATCGATATTTCACCAACTTTCCCATTAGCTAGCGCTCTGAAACTTTTAGGGAAGCTCAGCTCCCGATAACAATACAATAATCAATAATTTGTTGCACTAAGTAGGAGACAACCCTGACCTGGTTCTTATGCGGGTTGACCTCAAGGATACACTCGGCCATGAAGTAGGAGGTGACAGCGTTGCCACCGAGAGCCGCGACGTGTGCGCGCACTACGCCCAGGATCTCCGTCATGAGGCTGCCTACGAACACCGACACTCCGCCGCTCTGTGCATAAGTTTAGAGGTCAGGCAAAAAATTAAATAATTTACAGAACATTTTGACAAAGCTGAGTACTTTTGGGAAGCTCAGCAGATGGACAACTCAGCCACTCATCCTCTTCTGGTTGATCATTGAGTAGTTGGCTTGTCTAAGGATGTTGTATTATGAGATATAATGGAATTCTAGCGGGTCAACGAGCCAGTGATGTTCGTGGAACTACCTTAGAAAAACGGATCTATCTAAAATTGAGTCAACGATCATTCACTCCCTTCCAATGTTGCCACTACTAGCTAGGATGGGCAATACACCCATACAAAGCTGAGGTAATATCAGAAAAAAAGCCTCAAACGTACAAGGAGATTCCTGTATTTGGTAAACAGCTTGAGCACTCCACTGGAAATACGATACTCAAATTTATTAAGAACTACAATGAATTATGATAAATAGTAATGACAAAGTGAGCCAGATCTACAGGAATACGATTAATAAATTTTAGTTCAGTAAAATTGACCTCTTTAATGCAGGTGCTTTCCCTGATGAAAAAGAAGTTGAGGTTGCCGAGATGGCCCTCGATGCGCGCGCCGGGCACGAAGGGCAGCGGTGAGATGCACACGCCCTGCCAGCCCTCAGAGCAGCCGTTACTCCCGCCGTGATCCTGGAGAAATACTCTGCAGTGAGCACGACCAGTAAAATTATTACTCTTAAATTACTAATATTAAATTATTATCAGTTGGATGATTTTGTCATGTGCCTCGGTCGGAGTATCGCTATGAAGATGACGCGGGAACGTCTCCAGATGACGTCACGTCTTCTAGTAAAGCAAAAACGTACCATAATAACACAAGGCAAACTTGACATAACAGACCATTCATGCAGAAAATCCAGATAAGCGACATCAACTCCGAGTATTTTGTCCACTCATGACGATACAATACGACGCAAGCAACTCACAGATCGTTCCTAAACTTGAACAGCATTGCTACGCAAGACAAATAATCGCGGGCAAAAAACAGGCACGTGAATTGGAAGATATCACGAATATCTTCGGTGTTTCAGTTTAGTTCACTCGTATTCCTTCTTGCAAATTAACTCGTATACAGGCCTCACCTGCAGAATTAATATAATGTCACGGTGTGTTGGATTGAAATCTTATCAGAAGGAGAGCTGGGTGTCAAGCGGCCATATTGGAGGCACTTAGTTGCATCGAAAGTTCCGGTAGAACTGTGAACGATGAATATCGATCGTTCACTAATATTCATTATTCTATTGATGCTATCATTTGTTCTCATATGCCTTTTGTTCATTCTGGCGAAATTATTTTATTACGTCTGGCGAAGCTGTGCTTGTAACATTTAAGTCAGACCTGTAGCAGTGGGAACCACGTAGGACGAGGTCAGGTCTGAGCGGCTGTGGGTCGAGGTAGTCAGTCGTGTCCCGCCAGCCCTACAGTGAGGTTCTAGCCTGAACTCACCTCGCTCCGTTGCTCCACTAGCGATCTTGTGCCCTAGCGCTAGTTACTGTGGCTGTGCTCTATATGCTCCATCAAGCTGTGTAATGTCTCTCGTGCTTGCTGTACTATTTTATTCAACGTGTTGCTTTTAAGTTTTCTTTTCTGGAATAAAAGACAAGTTTTACTCGTGTAACCGAAGTTTTAATGAATGAACATCCCAGTGCAATAAAGTGAACTTTTTACAAGATAGTTGCCGGCGTTTGGCCGTGGAGCTTCGATCATCTTGACGAGATTAAAGGTAGCGGCACACGTCCGGTGACAGAACAAATAACACAATTGGTAGAACAAATTGGTTCCGATAGAACACAATTCACATGAACTAATGAACTTCAATTAATGATTCCGGCGCAAGTTTTGTCGTAGAAAAACATAGTATTGCGAAGAAATGCGAGCATGTAACGAATTATTCCAAGTCTTTCCAAGAATCCAAGTGTCGCTTATCCCTACGAGATCAGTCAGCCCTGTTAATTAAGGGCGAACAAATACATTATAAGTGAGAAACTTACAACATAAAACCACGGAATGAGAGAAAAAAAACATCACGACAATGTTATTCTAATTGATGGTGATTAATTCTAGAACCTTGGGGTAGTTAATTGATGTTTATTGAAGATTCATGTCTGTTTATAAAGAGGCTGCTATCGTTGCTGTTAAAAAGGATCGTTGAATAATTTCATGCAAATAGAAGCAGTTATTTATAGGGTGAAGAATACGTAAGAAAATGATTCAAAATGTAACTTTCAAAGGGAAACTTAATCACACAAGAATCAAATCAACAGTCAACGCTGAACAATGTTGTCAATATAATAAAAGATCAAGCTTCCTCGCGTCGCTCCGCGGTCGAAAGCACAAAGGCAGGCTTATACGCTACGGCTTAACTTCTACGAATCTGCGTCCCAAAATTACAAAGGCATCAACTAACAATAATAACACATAGAAAACCAAATACAAAGAAAAACAACAAAACAGAAGGTAGTAAATAAAAGACTCAAAAAAGGTTAATAGTTGCGTCGTGAGGTTGTGATACCGACGATTAATAAAAGGTATTTATTGCGCTCTGGTGAAAAATTCTTGCAAGTGTGCAACAAGAAAACATAGAGATTGGGGCCAGGAATGAACAGTAACATCCAGGGAAGTGAGGGTAAAGTCACAATTGAGGGGAAATATTAACTTCCCTTTTTTGTATCACTATTTTCAGAGAGTAAACGGTGCCTCATGGGTGGACTTTATTTGGCAGAGTTCGCCAGGTGTGGACGGGCTATGACAAAGACAAGAGAATACAGTGATATGTGTTTCCAGCTGAGATGCAGTGAAAAACATCATAGATTGGGCAGGGAGAGAATCTTCGACTTAAATGCGGATAGGAATACGAGAAAGGAGACAATTGAGGCAAGGACAGAGGCAACAGCTCGGAAATAGATGGAAGGAGAGAATCTTCGACTTTAAAGCGGATAGGAATACGAGAAAGTAGACAATTGAGGCAAGGACAGAGGCAACAGCTCGGAAATAGATGGAAGTGACAACATCTCAGCACTGGCACCTGCGACGCGGCTACGGTGGTGCGACAGAAGGACAGACGGGAGACGGAGTAGCCGGACGACACAGACGCGCTAGACAGCTCAGAGCTCAGCGACGGCGTGCCGTGTAGACGCGCCTGTCGCGGTACACGGGGTGAGTGATCAGGGGTGTGGGGTGAGGGATGAGGGGCGTGGGGTGAGGGATCAGGGGTGTAGGGAACATTAGGAGTGGTTGCAGGTTGTGGAAAGAGTGGTTGTAGGGTGTGGAAAGAGTGGTTGTAGGGTGTGGAAAGAGTGGTTGTAGGGTGTGGAAAGAGTGGTGGCAGGGAGCGTTAGGAATGTTTGCAGGGCGTGGAAAGAGCGTTGGCATGGAGTTGAAGGAGGGTAGCAACGTTTGATAGGATGTCGAAAGAGAGGGTAAAGCGAGTGTTGCGAGTGGATGTAGAATGTGTATATACGTAGTAGTGAAACTCATGACTAGGCTGGAAAGCAGACAGACCAGGGTAGAAAGAATGGAAGTCGTACAGAAGCGATTATAGAAGAGCCAGAAACCACAATGAAGATCACAATATTCTCATTCGTAACTTTGGGATTTCGTTTTTTCTGCGCTAAGGCGCGTTTAACTTTTGTGGAGAACGGAGAAATGGTAATTTGAGAGGGGCAGAAGGTTTAAATGAAAGTTATTATTTGTATTAAAACTCCTGAGAGAAGCATAGGCGTACCCAGCCGGCTACGGTTGTTAAAACCCAATACAAGATTCCTCTTAACAGCGCCGAAGCGGACGCATCACCAAAGATCATCAGCACGCACAAGACAAACTATACACCCATTAACAAGGAGGCACAAATAAACGACTTTCTCCTCGCTATGATGTCCAATTGTCCTTCGCACAGTTAATATCGCAAATTTTATGAATTAGCTTTTCTTGTTACGATATCTTTAAGATTTGGCCTTGACAATACCTAGAAACGTTTGTAGTCGGCATCTAGCAGCGCAATAGGTACGGTAGTGGGTGGCATCTAGCTACACAACAAATAGTGGCCGCCTGGTCGGCATCTAGCTGCACAATAAGTAGTGGTCGGCATCTATAGCTACACAATAAGTAGTGGTCGGCATCTATAGCTACACAACAAGTAGTGGTCGGCATCTAGCTACACAACAATTAGTGGTCGGCATCTAGCTACACAACAAGTAGTGGTCGGCATCTAGCAACACAACAAGTAGTGGTCGGCATCTATAGCTACACAACAAGTAGTGGTCGGCATCTAGCTACACAACAAGTAGTGGTCGGCATCTAGCTACACAACAAGTAGTGGTCGGCATCTAGCTACACAACAAGTAGTGGTCGGCATCTAGCAGCACAATAAGTAGTGGTCGGCATCTAGCAGCACAATAAGTAGTGGTCGGCATCTAGCTGCACAATAAGTAGTGGTCGGCATCTAGCTGCACAATAAATGTGATACAATGCTCGACGCTATCATAGCGATGTTTCTACCAGCACGCAAGTCCTGCTTAAGCCCAGTCAAACTATTATTGCAGGTTTGACGAAAACATCGCAGATGAGATGTGAAATAGCCTCCTTAGCTAGCTGATTCTATCGCTGACGCTCTGAGTATGAACGCGTTCATGAACAGACTAGATAAAGCCATGCAAAAATATATTTTTAGAATTGAAATGTCTAGCACCATATCTAACCCGGTGGAAGTCTAATAAATATTTCAAACTCTCGTCAGTTTCGAAGATCCGGTTGAAATACCTGTTTATATATCTCCTGTGAACAAGTCACGAAAAGTACAAGATTCGGCGAGAGGCCACACCAGGCCTACTCCTCAGCGCCGACATCTCTATGATGTGATATGAAACTTCTTGTGTAAATCTCATAAAGAAATCATTAATTACGAATTGATAATTTGATCTATAAATGATGAGAACTGTGAATAGAGAGACAGTGTGAAACAGAATGCAGCTAATGAATTTACAGTCAAAATTCCCTGCCAGTGAGATTTGTTAGTGTATAATGAACAATACTGTACGATACACTTGGCTGCTTGATTGCATTACAAGGAAAGTCACAATTATTTGATCATAATAACATGATTGAATGTTCCTTTTTCAAGTTGACAAGTCAATGCTATTGTTGACTAAAGCTATTGTTGCTATTGTTGTATTGTTTATTGTTGTTGTTGCTATTGTATTATTGTATTGTATTGTTTGTTGATCAAAGCTATTGTTGACTATTCAATGCTTACAATGTTAAGAACTAAAAGAAAGTAGCGAGTTAAAAGAAGGTTTTGAACGCTAACACAGTTACGAACAAAAATTAAGTTATATTTACGCGCCGAGCGAACGAGAAGCAAACGAACATAGGCCTCCGCGAGACAGTCGTATTTTTAGAGAAGCAGTCGCGCATCGGCTTGACCATGTTTATCCGCTGAATATAACTCGATAGCAGCAATAGGAGCTTTGCAAGATAGATGTTCCGTTATCGCTGAATATAACTCAATAGCAACAATAGTAGTTTTGCAAGTTCGGTGTAACGCTGAATATAACTCAATAGCAACAATAGAAGTTTTGCAAGTTAGATGTACCGCAGGATATAACTCAATAGCAGCAATATTTTAGTTAAGTAGGTGTATGAGCAAGCACCTGGTGTTGCAGGAGAGGTCTGGAGGTGCTGCCGCAGGAGGAGCTCGATGATGACGCGTAGGTGATCTTGCGCCCAGAGTGCGACTGCGTACCACCTCCACTGCTTCCGTCTATGGCAGGGCAAACTTTTAGCAAGAAAACCAAAACCTTCACACTAATTACGTTGAAACAAGGTTGATTACGATTCACATGAAACATCATTCAACAATCAATCAATGTTATTTCAATTTTGGATGCCTGATGGCATTCACACGAATTACGTTGAAACAAGGTTGATTACGATTCACATGAAACATCATTCAACAATCAATCAATGTTATTTCAATTTTGGATGCCTGATGGCATTCACACGAATTACGTTGAAACAACGTTGATTACGATTCATATGAAACATCATTCAACAATCAATCAATGTTATTTCAATTTCGGATGTCTGATGGCAATTCTACCGGCCACAACACATGAGGAAAGCAATGCTTCTTTGTAAATACCTTTCTAGCATTTGCATCGCTTTAATTTCTTGAGCTCGAAACTTACGATATCAAAGGCGTTACAAATTTATTCAAAGAAGTCCATAAATGAAGTAATAAATTATATAAAATTAAATCGAACATGGTGCTCACTGCAATAGTCACTGACTGACAGCAACACGTATTAAGATGAACAATCCAATGCCAAGGTAGAACGGCTAGTGTCTTAACTTTAATTTATTGTTTTCAGTTATTCATAGACTTATTTGTACATGATACAAGATCTTTACGAATCAAATCCACCGAATGCAACACTGAAGTGACAAAAAAAAAACAATTTTCGCGCTTAAAAAACAAAAATTTTAAGCGAGTAAAATGCAAAGGCATAGGTAAAAAAAAAATTCGTGACTCGTTGAATGTCTCAAATTAAACTTCGTTCATTAAAATCTAAGAATTGAATATTAATATAGTATGCACTTAAAGACCTTCGGCCGTTGGAGGAAGTGCAGTGGACTTCTTAGGAGTGCGGTCTGTGACTTCCTCCATCCTGAAGATGAGCTCGCCTTCCTCTGCACGTGTACAGGGTAATGATTATTAGATTTAATAGGTGCAAGTCAATCACATGGACTTCAGCCGAGCTTGCTTATTGTTCAGAAATTAGAAAAGAATAACAAGAAACATTAAAGCCAATTATTCACGTGATTTCTCAGCCTACATGCGGCCCAGCTATCACTTGATCTTTGTTATTTTTCAAAATATAAAGGGACACCAATAGCGGGTTTAGAAATTTCTGCACTTAAATATTACTTTCACAACTCAGAGTCTAGCTGGACTATAAAGCTCTGTCTTCTGACCGTGTTCGTGCAAAGAGTTGCGATTACTCGTTCGCTTGACGCTCTGAACACCATTGACGACAGCCATGTCAGTTGCCTGTCGCTGGCTGGCAACTGCCTTGACGCACACAGATGTCTTCACAATTTTATTATCGCTTGTGCGGGTGAAACTTTTAACTTCACGGCCTCCAGAACCCAATGATTGAGGCAGAGCTTTGGGGTCCTCCGGCAGAGGCAATGAAGAGGAAGAAATTTGTGGAGGCAAAGTAGGAGGTGGCAGTCGTATTACTGCCCCCAGGACGCTGATCTGTAGTTCATCTTCTTCAGGGATGGTGACGTCGAAACGCAGTCCTGTGATGACGCATGGCTGCATCTTGCGTGCGCGGAAGCAGATGCTCTGAAAAAAAAATATAACTCAGTACTCACTGCAGTGAGTGACAGAGAGCGCATTTTCTCGTTGACGAAAAAGTGAAGTCATGGACGGAAAGACGGAGACATGGCGAGCACAATAATGCATTTTTTCCATAAATGAGAAAATGCGCTAAAAACTAAACAAGCAAGTGCATTGATTCTGTTAACATCTACTGCGATCTGTGTTCTGCAGTAGGCATAAACTTTCCTATGCAACAGAGCAGCATGGATAACATGAGATTGGCTGTTACCAGTCTGTTGGAATTTTTTAAATTGGTGCCCAAGAAACTTGGACTTGACAAATATTACAAACCACGCACTTTGATCATAATCCTTCCTATCAAGGTTTGACGAATATAATCGTTAAAAAAAAGACATCAGAAGCAGCTCTTGGAATTTAAAATATCGTTTCCAAAATAACGCGTATATCTTGTGTCATGAGAAAAAAGAAAGACCTAATGCTAGTAATCTCAAGACAGCAACTTTCAAAAATGCTCAGCTATCACATTCATCGCAATAACTATTTACTGATTTCATAATCGCACAGATTTTTTGCCACTTCTGTGTTACGCCAACCAGAGCCTCATACATCAATGCTCTACTGACACCCTGAAATAACGCTCACCTCAATCACGTTATTGAAGTAAGCTTCACACATCAATAACACCCTGAAATAACGCTTACATCAATAACACCCTGAACACCCTGAAATAACGCTCACATCAATCACGTTATCGAAGTATGAGTCACACATCAATAACACCCTGAAATAACGCTCACCTCAATCACGTTATCGAAGTATGCGTCACACATCAATAACACCCTGAAATAACGCTCACATCAATAACACCCTGAAATAACGCTCACCTCGATCACGTTATCGAAGTAAGCGTTGAAGACAGTCTGAGTGAGGGCGGTGTTTGAAGCAAAGCTCTCCCTGTACACCTTTGTGAACGTCTGGATGTTGCCCACGCAGCTCTCAGCGCTGCAAATTAATTACGAGATCATATGAGGCCTCATGATACAAGTGTCTTCCTGATGTGTTGATACTTTTTCAACACGGAGGAAATGACCCAACACCCATTCACTCTTCCTTATGATACTATGTTGATATTCTTTCAACATGGAAATTACACACCACACATTCACCACCACAGCTTACACAACTACCACAGGACCAGGAAGTCTCTAGGACCACAAGAACCACAGCCGAGGACCACACCTCATGGGTACATTCACCATCATAGCTCACACAACTACCACAGGACCAGGAAGTCTCTAGGACCACAAGAACCACAGCAGAGGACCGCACCTCATAGGCACATTCACCACCACAGCTCACACAACTATCACAGGACTAAAAAGTCTCTAGGACCACAAGAACCACAGCAGAGGACCGCACCTCATAGGCACATTCACCACAACAGCTCAGACAACTACCACAGGACCGGAAGTCTCTAGGACCACAAGAACCACAGCTGAGGACCAAGCCTCATGGGTACATTCACCATCATAGCTCACACAACTACCACAGGACCGGAAGTCTCTAGGACCACAAGAACCACAGCTGAGGACCACACCTCATGGGTACATTCACCATCATAGCTCACACGACTACCACAGGACCGGAAGTCTCTAGGACCACAAGAACCACAGCCGAGGACCACACCTCATGGGCAGGCCGGGCACGGTGTGGGTGGTGGCCATGAGGGGGCGCAGCGGCGAGGGGCGGCTCGAGTTCACCAGCAGCGTTGCCATCTCCGCGTCCTCGCTGTCGTCCAGCTGCTCAATGATTATTACGATCATAATTATATACAATTATCATTGTAGACAATCATCGTTATTTACAATAATCATTATATGCAATCATCGTTATATAAAATCATTAGTATATACAATCACTGTTATATACCATCATCGTTCTATACAATCATCATTATGTACAATCATCATTATATGCAATCATCATTGTATACAATTATCGTTATATACAATCGTCATTATAAACAATCATCATTATACACAATCGTCATTATAAACAAACATCATTAAATATAATAATCATTATAAACAATCGTCATTATATACAATCACCATTATATACATACAATCATCATTATACACCATCATTCCGACAAGACGATGACCAAACATGACATTGCAGCCGTTCGGTTTCAAAACGGCTGCAATGAAAGCCGCGTCACCAAATACGAAGGAAGGTGAATCAATCAAGCCGACTGTAGTAAATTCAGCAACTAAATCTTTCCAATAATAAAGTCAAGTTTCCTGAGTACAAAAAATAACTGCGGCATACGTTAAGGATGAAAATACTCTTAGGAAAAATTAGTATCCAGAAACCATAAATAAGAAGTGAAACCATGAATACCATTGCATGATCAGCATTTTTCATTTGTAGATCATGAAATTATTTCGGATACGCAGCCATGTGGCCGAAGATTTAATAAAAAGTTATGACTAGCGAGTAAGACGCGTTTCCGAAGAGATCCCATGAAGATAAGAGATCTAGTGATGAAGTCGATGGTGTTCGCTATCATCAACACCATCTGCTCTATACGTTTGCTATAAATTATTAGCTCCATAATACAAGCCTCAATGTTGGATAAAACTGAACTGGGTTAAAATACTGTACGGGATTATATGCATTTATTTACTCCGATGCCAGCAAAGAATTCTTATGACGAGCTTTTAAAGTCTGTCAAATCTCAAAATCTCAAAAGAAGCACAAGTCCAGAGTATAAGTCAAACCTCAAAGAGACAAGCCTCTTTGTTGCCGGCACTGAAGTCAATATCCAGCGGTGGTCCAGAGTGCGGCGTGCCCTGAGGGAAGAGCTCAGTGTCCGCTGAGCCACCAGGGGCATCGTCGTCCTCTGAGTCAGAGCTCTGAGTCCAGAGCTCAGAGGCATTACGGCTGCTGGGACGTCTACGCTGACTCTTCTTCTCAGGCTGCGGGGGGAGAGAAAATTGGTGCGGAGTGATTTTTATTATTACTATTATATTATTAATTACTATTATAATAATATAATTATTATTACTATTATGATTTTTATTATTACTTTATTATTATAAAGTATATAATCAATATGCTATGATTGTTTACTCTATATGATGAGCATATAATCAATAGGCTACACAATGATTGACCTTACAAGCTGATAACCGAACAATGGGCGGGAGAATTCCCGGGAAATGAAAAAGATAAGATTACACAATGGTAAATTCAAGTTTTTATTTCTTCATTATGAAAAAATCTGCGAACATTGCATGAAAACCAGTCTAATTAAGATCAGATTGGTTTTGCTGTTAATTGCAAGAAAGATGGCGTTGAACGTCAACAACTGAGAAGCAGAGCAAGGCACTGTCAATCAAAGGACGTGGCACTGATAAGCAGAGCATGGCACTGACAATCAAAGGACGTGGCACTGAGAAGCAGAGCAAGGCACTGACAATCAGAGGGTATAACACTGAGAAGCAGAGACTGGCACTGACCAGGACGCCGTAGTGTTCGCTGTTGGCGCGCATGACGCTGCTCAGGCGCTGCTGCCAGTGTCGTCTCACCTCCTCACCCTCGTTGCTGTCAACCACAACCTGATAGGCCATTGTAAGCTTCATTTATAGTAACATTAAAGCCAATGTACGATTGTAATGATAAAAGAATCATAAAAAAGCGAATAGTATGATTTATAACTTAAAATCATGTTATAAAAATATGCGTCTAAAAGGTACTTTTTAAAGACCACACTGGGCGGCAGGAGTGATTACTCTCTGCAGCGAGTATTAGGGTTACCCTCGACAGCAATTATTACCTGAGGGGCGAGAGGTGGCGGGAGGGCGGTGAGGAAGACAGCTGTGCCCGACGCTACCGCCACCACCAGACGCTCGCCCAGACTCAGCCGCACGCGCAGCCCGAAGATCGCGTTCATGCCGGCGATCTGCGCGCGACAGACCCCAGCAAACATTACTATTATAGAATTTATAATATAAAACATCAAAACCTTATCACCTAAACCTTTATATTAAAACCTTTATATAAAAAATATATAGAATTTATAATATAAAACATCAAAACCTTATCACCTAAACCTTTACATTAAAACCTTAAAACCTTTATATTAAAAATAAAAAACATCAATGATGTCCATGTCAAAGGTAATACTAACTTTTCAGAAAGCATCATACCAAAAAACTTTATCATGACAAATAATACTGAATTTTCGACACCAAAATTTAATCATAAAGAAGACTTGTTTGCCAATTGCTGCAAACCCTGCCAAAATCTTGTCAATAATGTAAAAGTATGCACCAAAGTTATTCGTATCTGAAGGGCTGTTATCGACAATGTAATCTGAAAATGATTATAGATTATCAGAGAAATATGCACATAAATTTTTGCCACACTGTTTGCAGGTTAAAATATAATTCTCTCTATCGTGCTTCTGTCGTCTTTGAAGCTCAAGTGAGATCATGATTGCTAATATAGAACGTTCAGACTTGAAAACGCCGGTGTAAGCGGCGTAAATTAATATAGGAAAGTGTCATCTATATATTACTACAGGACCTTCAGACTTGTCAACGCCAGTGTAAACGGCATCACTCTAACACGCTACTAAATGGCACAGAATTCCAATATAATTCAGAAACTAACTTTAAATACAACGGAGCGAAAAAGTTGGCGTCAGAAACAGCTAGCATGCAAGTATAGCGTCGCTGACATGGCTATATATACATGCAGAGCTAGGCAGCGCTACTTTTAAATGTAGCGGGCGCTACCGCTACATGCTCTAAATGTAGCGGGCGCGACCGCTGCCGCTACATGTGGCGCGCTACTGCCCACCTCTGCCTACCTGCCAAAGCAGACCGCAAGAAGTAAACTCACCCTGACTTTGTTGAGGATAAGCTTGGTGATCTCGTACTCTACGAAGGGCAGAGCATCCGACACCTCCTTAGCGAAGGCCTCGCCCTTGAGGTCTCGTCGGTGCTTGAACACCCGCGCCTGCACCAGGCAACCGCGACCTGCCGTCAACACGTCGCTCTTTACACTTCTGGAGTTGTACTTTCTAAATTCGCTAAGTGAACGTAAGTACTTACGCTCTATTTTCTTGTCTATGATTAGTGGATTTTGCTTGAAAGGCCGTCAATGATTGGCTGATGAACTTACGATCTCTGAACTTTTTTTGAAAGTATGGCCCCAGGGGTTGTAGTATAATAAATAGTTACGAGTGCGTAACTACTTATTATACTATACTCTACTAACCTCCCAAACTGCGTCAGCCAATCGCGGACAGCTTTTCGAGCTAAACCTACCAACCAAATACATAAAAAATTGGCCGCTACGTCTATACTAATTAAAACTACTTTTAATAGTGCGTGGGGTCGCGTGAACACTTCGTCGTCAATAGATTATAATAGTATCATAATCGGGCACGCATAAGATTAGAGTGCAGCGACTCAATGCCAAGCACGGATCATTGATACATCAGAATTGTATTGTGCGAGTCGTGCATGCATCACAATACATGAATGAGGGTCTACACAACATCACACTTCACTGACGAAAGTCAACGCTATGTTACAGTTCAGGAACTAGGAGCATAAATATATAAAAAAAATCACGAATCGTAGTTGTAGATTACGTGAAAATACAAAAATTGCGCAGCAGCCAACTAAAAAATCATATTCAATACATACTGCAAATACATTAACTGTTGTTTATAATTTATTTAAAGGCTTGGTAACTATAGTTACAGTGATTAAACAGCCAAGATAAGAGTCAAGATAATTTGTTCAAGTTGGCGCCGGTGCATGATCTGCGGAATTGATCATTAGAAATAACAAAACTATCGATGATAAATATGCTCTTTGACGTCTTCTACAACCCCTGGCGAAAATTATGGAATCACCGGCCTCGGAGGATGTTCATTCAGTTGTTTAATTTTGTAGAAAAAAAAATATATCACAGACATGACACAAAACTAATGTCATTTCAAATGGCGACTTTCTGGCTTTAAGAAACACTAAAAAAGCAAGAAAAATTTGTGGCAGTCAGTAACGGTTACTTTTTTAGACCAAGCAGAGGGAAAAAAATATGAAATCACTCAATTCTGAGGAAGAAATTATGAAATCATGAAAAACAAAAGAACGCTCCAACACATCACTAGTATTTTGTTGCACCATCTCTGGCTTTTATAACAGCTTGCAGTCTCTGAGGCATGGACTTAATGAGTGACAAACAGTACTCTTCATCAATCTGCCTCCAACTTTCTCTACTTGCTGTTGCCAGATCAGCTTTACAGGTTGGAGCCTTGTCATGGACCATTTTCTTCAACTTCCCCCAAAGATTTTAAATTGGATTAAGATCCGGACTATTTGCAGGCCATGACATTGACCTTATGTGTTATTTTTTCAAGGAATGTTTTCACAGTTTTTGCTCTATGACAAGATGCATTATCATCTTGAAAAATGATTTCATCATCCCCAAACATCTTTTCAATTGATGGGATAAGAAAAGTGTTCAAAATATAAACGTAAACTTGTGCACTTATTGAAGATGTAATGACAGCCATCTCCCCAGTGCCTTTACCTGACATGCAGCCCCATATCATCAATGACTGTGGAAATTTGAATGTTCTCTTCAAGCAGTCATCTTTATAAATCTCATTGGAACAGCACCAAAAAAAAGTTCCAGCATAATCACCTTGCCCAATGCAGATTCGAGATTCATCACTGAATATGACTTTCATCCAGTCATCCACAGTCCACGATTTCTTTTCATTAGCCCATTGTAACCTTGTTTTTTTCTGTTTTGGTGTTAATGATGGCTTTCGTTTAGCTTTTCTGTATGTAAATCCCATTTCCTTTAGGCGGTTTCTTACAGTTCGGTCACAGACGTTAACTCCAGTTTCCTCCCATTCGTTCCTCATTTGTTTTGTTGTGCATTTGCGGTTTTTGAGACATATTGCTTTAAGTTTTCTGTCTTGACGCTTTGATGTCTTCCTTGGTCTACCAGTATGTTTGCCTTTAACAACCTTCCCATGTTTTTTGTATTTGGTCCAGATTTTGGACACAGCTGACTGTGAACAACCAACATCTTTTGCAACATAGCGTGAGGATTTACCCCCTTTCAAGAGTTTGATAATCCTCTCCTTTGTTTCAATGGACATCTCTCGTTTTGGAGCCATGATTCATGTCAGTCCACTTGGTGCAGCAGCTCTCCAAGGTGTGATCACTCCTTTGTAGATGCAGACTAACGAGCAGATCTAATTTGATGCAGGTATTAGTTTTGGGGAAGAAAATTTACAAGGTGATTCCATAATTTTTTCCCCAAAATTGAGAGATTTCATATTTTTTTCCCTCTGCTTGGTCTAAAAAAGTAACTGTTACTGACTGCCACAATTTTTTTTCTTGATTTCTTATAGTGTTTCTTAAAGCCAGAAAGTTGCCATTTGAAATGACTTTAGTTTTGTGTCATGTCTGTGATATATTTTTTTTCTACAAAATTAAACAACTGAATGAACATCCTCCGAGGCCGGTGATACCATAATTTTCGCCAGGGGTTGTAATTAGTTCATTTGAATGCAGAATGATGGCTTGAATTTTAGCGTTTGTACTTTGTAGTGTGGAAGACTTCAAACGTTAATCCAGGTCTAAAATTTATAACTATAATCCTAAAAATGAAAAACACGTAACTAAAATTAAAATATCCATGAAAACTGTTTTCCAAAAGAAAAAATACCCACTGAACAAGTGCTCAATAGACCAATGATGCAAACACAAAGAGAAGGCAATGAATACATGTAAGTGAACTCGCCTGTGATGGGTATCCCTGGCGGTGGCTCTATGGTGGCCAATAATATGTCTGTCACTTTGCCGTGCCTGCAAGAAAAAATACGCTTGGTGTACCAGTAAAAGTTTAAATAACTTCTTATTCATAAGTGAAAGAGCAGGAAACTTTTAATATTTATTGAACAGCTCTTTCCTATCGCGTGCTGCTACCACATTACGGAATCCTTATAATCATCAACGCTTTCTCAACTTCTTTGGCTTTTACAAGCATGAAACTGGAATCTAATAATATAAATCCCACATGATGGAAAATTTTCAGCAAAGTAAGAAGCCGTAATCTAGTAGGTGACAACTAAAGTAACCTAAGAAATCTTTACAAATCTATTGATATCAAGCATTTAGAGCAAATCGAAAAAAGATTTTCAAGGAACAAAATTGGGAATAGTCGGAACAAAATATACCCGTGACGACCAATGGAGACAGCGAATTTTTAAACCAAGTAATTGTTCAATTTTAATGTTCAAGTCATACATTTTTCAATTCACATTCAATGTTTAGTCACATTCTGATGTTAACCTTTCGCGTGTTAACGTTAACGCGTGTTAACCTTTCGCCTGCTGGCGCTGACTCTTGTCAGTAAATTATAGACGGACGAAGGTTAATGTAATTATAATTATTAAATTATATATTACGGACGAAATTTAATGCGCCGGCAGTAAAATGGTTAACTATTTGGCACAGACAGTAACTCTGGTTATAAGCTTTTAAATACGAACAGCAGTGACAGCAGGTAAAGTTTATCAGACAAAGGATTGAACCCATGCGCTAAATATTTTCATTTCTATAGTGAAGTCGTCCTAGAAAAAAAATTCATTATATGCTTGGAATGTTCACTGTCAATGGTGGGGGAATATGTAGAAATTAAAAAAAATACCAAAAGCTTGACCGAACTGAAGAGAATTTCAGTTACTATGTAGGTTTTTAGATACGCATGACTTAGACGGCGGCTAACGTTTTCGCAGACAAAGGGTAAACCCACACCTAATTTGTTCAAAGAGAATCAATAGGGTAAACCCTCACATTTAGATAATTTGCAGAAAGAAGCAAGAGGGTAAACCCTCACATTTAGATAATTTGTAAAGAGAAACAAGAGGGTAAATACATTCGTTGAGATGATTTGTAAAGAGAAGCCAAAAGGTAAACAGATTCGTTGAGATGATTTCTACAGAGAAAATTACTGACTTGCAGAGCGCACACTTGCTGATGGCGACTTTGAATGGCAGCTCGGCGGCGTCAGCGAAGGGCGAGTGACACACGCAACAGAGGGGCTCAGCCATACCAACGCCTGCGGCAACTGGCATGCAAGAAAATTAATTAACTTCTAAACTGTTAATAATTCAAGTCATATTTTAAATTACCATTAATGATAGACAGTTTATTACTACTTAGAGTATACCGTTTACTGCGCAAAAGCTGTTAATTGCGCAAGAGCTGTCGGTCGACCGAGATAGCGCAAGCTTTATTCCTTTCGAACGGAGTGCAATTTTTGTTTAAAAATTCTATCGAGAATATAAAGTAGTCGGAAGTCATACTCAGATAGAAGCGAACTTTATACTCACCAAATATTAACTAATGCATAAGGCAGTTATCCTGAGAAGTGTTCAATAGCCTGCAGGATAGGATACTGATACGCAGGATACTGACATGTAGGATACTGACATGTAGGATACTGACATGTAGGATACTGACATGTAGGATACTGACATGTAGGATACTGACATGTAGGATACTGACAAGTGCAGGACACTGACACGCAGGACACTGACACGCAGGACACTGACATGCAGGACACTGACACGCAGGAGACTGACACTCAGGGCACAGACATGCAGGATACTGACACGCAGGATACTGACATGCAGGATATTGACATGCAGGATACTGGCACGCAGGATACTGACATGCACAATACTGACACGCAGGATACTGACACAGGATACAGACACGCAGGATACTGACACGCAGGATACTGACACGCAGGATACTGACACGCAGGATACTGACATGTAGGATACTGACACACAGGATACTGACATGCACAATACAGACACGCAGGATACTGACACAGGATACAGACATGCAGGACACTGACACGCAGGACACAGACATGCAGGACACTGACACGCAGGATACTGACCAGCTGCCTGCGTCCTGTGTGGGGTGCCAGCGCTGCCCCCCAGCGCTATATCGCCGTCTTCGCTCACGCTCGTCTGCCGGCACCGCAGACTTCCACCCTGAACATGTACTTTGCTATCAGTCTTAAAACATGGCTTTGGGTCTACTTTACTATTAATATTAAGGCTTTTATTGGGGGTTCATCAAGTTTAGTAGCTACGAGTTTTTTTTGCAGCACCACAATTTAAAACGCCCCAAAAATATCAGCGAATACCTGTTAAACTAGATCACTCGGAACTATTCTATGCTTACATAGCTTAATTCAACTACACAGAATTAAAATAAGAAGGAGTGTGTCGGCTTCGGCAATGTATGAAAGGCGCGTTATAGCCATTACTGTATGGATGGTTGAGCATAAATCTTAGTGGCAGTAGCATGTGACAACGTTTAATGGTTGAAGCATTAGTGACAGAAACGCTCTAGTGACTGAAGCGTTAGTGACGGAAGCCTTATAGTGACAGAGGCGTGACAGAAGCGTTATTGATTTAAAGCGATGCACTCGGTCATTAACTGATAGTTCAGCGATATATTGAGTGTGTATTAGTCGTGAAGTATGACCTAAAATCCCTCGTCTGCTTGAATCGCATGCAATAAAATGAGACAAAAATAATAAGTATTCATCAGTGTAAGTATAAGCATTTACAAATAAACACACGATGAGATGAACTGAAGTTGAATTTCCATTTATAAACTGATGTCGAATTTTTTCCGTGCCGACTAGCAAGAACTTGCACCTATTTGCTCCTCCCTTACTACAAATGTTAGAATGAACTTATAAAATAGCAAGTCTTTGGTGTAATATTAGCATATACCAAAAAACACAAATTTCCCTCCATCAAACAATGGAAATGAACTATGAAGACTTCAACGCTACGGAAATAGGATGCTACGCATGCTCCGCTAATAAAGCGCGGATTAACGTGCACAAATTATTTACAGAAGTGCAATAAAAAGGTTAAAGGATAGCAAAAGTCATTTTACAATCGGTAGGAATAATTAAGAAATAATGTCAAAAATAACAAGGGTATTAGAAAGAGAAGAAGCAGCATTCACTTTATGAGTAATAATTAATATGAGTTGGAAACTAAATCGAACAGTAGCTATGTATGTCAGTAAGGTAAGGGACTGACCGCTATTATTCGACATCAATACACATATAAGTTGTAAAGGGCATAAGCAGTGAGCAGTGAACATTTCACGCGACATGGCTGGGTGACAACATTTCACATGACATGGCTGGGTGACAACATTTCACATGACATGGCTGGGTGACAACATTTCACAAGACATGGCTGGGTGACAACATTTCACATGACATGGCTGGGTGACAACATTTCACAAGACATGACTGAGTGACAATATTTCACATGACATGGCTTCACAACAAAAGCATTATCTAGGGACGAAGCACAGCTCTAGACATGGGCTACGAAAAGACAACGAAGCTGGCACCTATCAGCGCTCAACGTCCCCTCGTAACATGAGGCTAATTAAAGGCAACGTCACAGTGCAGCCGTGATACAGATACGTGGCACGGAGGACAACGAATGATAAAGCATAGAAGAAATACAAAAATAAAGCATACGGGAAATACAAAAATAGAGCATAGAAGAAATACAAAAACAAGGTATAGAGGAAATCAAAGGAAAAGTCATTGATGAAAGACATGAGCAAGACGCAGACAAAAGCATAGGGAAAGGTAGGAATGAAATCAAAGGAAAAGGCGCGGCAGAAAGCACAAGGCTTGATCAAGACCAGCACACACAAGGACGGTGCAGAACAAAACAATGACAAAGCACGGCGGGACGGTGGCGGGACGAACTACTCACACGAGACCGCCTGATGGGGCGGGGGCTGGACACCCGCGGCCTCCCGCTGCCCCCCACCTGCGGGGCACCCAACGTCGCCCAAGAGAACGCAGGGGAGGAGGAGTGTTAGTGTGGGGACTTGTAGGTGGGGAGGAGGAGTGTTGGTGTTGGATCTTGCGAGGGTGTTGGTGTTGGATCTTGCTGGGGCTGTCTCTTATACACATCTAGATGTGTATAAGAGACAGANACCAGATGGTGGTGAACTCAGTGTACCACTCACCAGATGGTGGTGAACTCAGTGTACCACTCACCAGATGGTGGTGAGTGGTACACCTGTCTCTTATACACATCTAGATGTGTATAAGAGACAGGTGTTGGATCTTGCGGGGGTGTTGGTGTTGGATCTTGCGGGGGTGTTGGGTTGGATCTTGCGGGAGTGTTGGGTTGGATCTTGCGGGTGAGGAGGAGTGTTAGTGTTAGGGTTGTAGGGGAGAGGGGTGTTAGTGTGGAGACTTGTGGGTGGGGAAGGGGGTTTGCGTAGTGGCGTATGAGAAGGTAGTGGTATGGGAGTGCGAGGGTCTAGTGTTAGCGTGTGAGGTGGATATGAGTGTGGTGACGTGTGAGTGTAGTAGGGTGTGAGTGTGGTCACGTGTGAGGTTGGTATGAGTATAGTGACACGTGTGAGGTGGGTGTGAGTGTGGTAGCGCATGTATCAGGAGAATGAGTTTTGATGCGGTGTAAAGGTTAACGAGTACAAGGAGGTGTGGTGAAGTGTAAGAACGTGTACACATGTGTTGGGCGTCAAGGGAGATGAAGTTTAGAGGGGTTGTAGGGTTTTGTAACAGATGAATCGTTGAGAAAAGATTAGAAGAAATCCATAGGGATTAGTAATAAAAACAATCCGTGGAGATCGTAAGCGAGAAATTCCTTTACACACATGAACCTCATGTGCTTAACAACCGCGAGGTACGAGATCTTGACACGAGTGAACTCTCAGGTCTTCCACACACGCGAAAACACCAGCATGCAATCTCAGGTACACTCGATTTCGTAAACCAGGCTCAAATTGAACACTAGAAACCAAGTTACGTCACTACAAGTAATTAACTTTCACATCAAGCATAAGTCACGCATTTAGTAAAAAATATCCAACTATGTGCTGCAAAATACGAATGAAATAACCTTGTATAAGAGAGCATGAGGAGGAAGAGAGAGAAGTTAGTATTAACATCACTGATGTAATTTACGCGCACATGTCATCAACATAATCTTAATAGTTTACTATCAAATGTCTTTCTAACATGACGGGCAATAATAAAAAACTACTTATACTACTACCGTAAAATGGGGTAACTTAGACCACTTTTTTTTATATAAATGATGCCATTTTTTTACTAGCTAAATTAAACTTGAATTGAAACATGCAAAATACAGGTCTATACTCTAGCTTTCGGCCCCATAATGAGGGAAATGTGACTACCTAATGGCAGCCCTGATGGGGTAATATTGACTGGCTTGGAAATTAAGTTAAAATTACCATATATAAGACTTTGTAGATTCTGAAACATAAAGAAAAAACATAAATAGGCAGTCAAACATAAAATATGTTATATAAGGTAATTTTATATTAACTTCCAAGCCGGTCTATGTTGCCCAATCAGGGCTGACATTAGGTGGTCTAAGTTACCCCATTGGGGGGCTGCGCCCCCCATTTGCAAACTATGACACTTTCCTAAAATTTGTCATTTGCATATGTAACTAGAAGAATTCTACTACAATGCATCAAAACCTGGGGTTATTTAACCAGAAAATAAAAAAATTGGAGGTGGTACTCTGACAGGCTTTAAATAATAGCTTTTTTTCGTGGGTCACATTGTTAATTTTTTAACCTATTAGATATGCAAACTTTTTAAATCTTTCTATTGTGTTATGTAGCCTCAGTATTAGACCTTTAATGCCCATTGACAAAATTTTTCTATGTCAAATAGTTTTTGAGTTGTGGGGGTTTTTGTTAGAAAAACCAAAATAGGTCTAAGTTACCCCGCCAGTCTAAGTTACCCCATTTCACGGTACTACATTACTACTACTTATACATTATTGAATATCGAGAAATTTTTCGCCAGACTCAGAGCAGGATATAATTTTTTTTGCTCAGAGCAGAAGATCTCCGGTTATCTTAAATCTGGGACCAACACAATTAAGAGAGTTAACTGACCTAGAGAGGTCTGATCAAACATGGAAACTAGCTGAAAACGCTCAACTTAAAATAATGCAAAAACACGCAACGATTCTATAAAAATATTTCAGTCATGAAGACTATTTCTTAGTATACAGATTAAGGCAAATTCTTGCACATCAATGTAAACCGCGCAGATCCAAGTAGAGAAAAAACTTTCGATAACACAGCTGGCATTGCTCATCTTCGGCGACGTTGCTCCTTATACTGTATATACTTGAAGTTTGAAGCAAATAAGTCAACCGTAGAACTTCATTCAATCGTAAAAAGGTCTTCATTCCACAACATTCAGAGCATGGATGTTGCATAATCAGATGATACGAACTACTTAAACATCACTTACTTAATGTGCCAACCCTCCAATGGAGATCAATAATTGCGCAAGACAGGAAAATGGGAAAATTGGAAATGGAAATTCATTGCATCCTCATGACATTGACTGATTTTGAGCATGAAGCTCACCAGGTGTGACGAGAAAGATAAAGTGACGGCAAGGAGTGCAAAACTGATTCCTGGATTAAGGAAGACAGACGATTATGGAAGGAATAGTATATGCCATACATGAATGCCTCCATGGTTTTACTCGAAGAAGATCTCATTATGCTATCAATGTACCGAAATCCCACATGCGAAATACGTGCAGTTGTTACTCTAAAATATTTGGTTCCACTGATGACAAGAAATTTAACGTTACTTCAGAAGTTACCAAGGAAAATTTAGCAACCAAGATGCGGAAAGGATCACAATATTTTGCCCTACAGAAGTGGATGCAATAATTAGGAAAGTGATACTCTAAAATTTTTGAGTAAAGTAACCAGAACATAGGTAATGCGTAAAAAACTTGCGGAACCTGCTAAAAGGGCTCACATTTACCGTCGAATTTCTCAGCCCAATGATATATATATTCTATACAATCGAGGTGTTTTTGCGGTTGTTCGAGATGTGGTTCGTGTTGCGGTACATGATGTAGGAAGTTCGTGATGTGGTTTTCGTGATGTGGTATATAATTTAAGAGGTTCGTGCATGATGTGGTAGATGATGTAGAAGGTTCGTGATGTAGTTATCGTGGTGGAGTGTTGCGATGTTATGCACTGACCTGAGCCTGGGAAGGAGCATCAGTTTCCTTTTTCTCAAAGGAAGAGCTGTGGTGCACAGGACCAGGGTACTGGTGCACGGGATGGTGACCGTAAAAGTACCCTGATGGTCCGTAATCGTCGAACCCTCCCGTCAGGAGCGATTCGTTGGACACGCTCACGATCGCGGCGGTGCCGCTCACGTTCAAAATGCATACATCGTCGCTGCGGGACATGGGGATATTGAATATGGGGAGTTTTAAAGTTCAATTCACTGAAAAAATACTAGGACGCTCATATAAAAAAGAAATAAAAATGCAACATGAACGAAACTTAGAGAACATATAGCAGAAAGTATTGAATAAAGATCAGGAATTTTACATTGAGTACGGTCGTACTTTTTTTAGTCAGATAAACAACCCCTTCAAGACCACTTTAAATACTGAGAAAATAGACTGAAAATCCAAAATAGACTGAGAGGAAAGGCTAGCATGCGACCAGAGGGAGCGCAGAAGCAATCTGCCCAACTGAGGGCAGATGCGCGATAGTCTGAGGCAGCGATCTGTGAGACTGTCGTGGCCTGGGACTGCTACATCCGAAAGAAGTAATAAGGATACTAAGGATAAAGATGGGGTCTCGCTGCAAAGCCAATCTTGGTCAAGTATCAAATGCTTAATATCAATCCTACCTTCAAAAAGGTACCCTACCACTCACCAGATGGTGGTGAACTCAGTGTACCACTCACCAGATGGTGGTGAACTCAGTGTACCACTCACCAGATGGTGGTGAACTCAGTGTACCACTCACCACTCAGTGTACCACTCACCATAGGGGCGTGAGACGAGAGGTCTCCACGGGAAACGTGAGGTGAGAAATGCAAGGTTATGCTTGTTACAATGTAATAGTGAGCGGTTATTTCCGTACGCTCTCCGTAAGAAGAACAATTGACCTTGAAATAAATTATCCGAGTGGCACAAGCCTGAGATTAAATGTTTATCCCAGTTATTGATTTTGCTTCACTTAGTTTTACTTTTGCTATGGGGTGTTCACTCTGAGTTAGCTGACACTGTCGCGTCTATAATAATATATACTATTATAATATTATTAGAATTAGACGTTTGAGGTCTAACACTTAATACGAGGACACAATGATAAATATTCAGAACAAAACGACAAAGAGAATTAAACACTCAAATAGCCACTCGTTCTTTCGACAAAATTGGGCTGAAATTTCTAGCAAATTTTTAAAATTCGGAAGCACGAAGGCACTTGGCGTAAGTGTCGCGAAAGCACTATAGGCATAAGTGCATGGTCAAAGAATATCTCATTACTTTCTTGCCTATCTCGGACTCAAACGTGAAAGTGTATTACACTGAACGAATTGAAGTGTGCGCGCCAAACTGCTCATAATATAATAAACATCCGATAAAAAACTCGAACTTCTCGTTTAAGGTCACTGGCGTAAACTCATTACCATTTCTATCAGCTTCAATATATTTAAAGTAATTAACTGTGGTTCATTGAAGACACAAACCATGCATGCATTTAAAAAAAATTAGTGGCTCACATTGTCCAAAAAGTGACACACTTTCTTAACCCACAACACGAGCAGAGAACGGACGTAGCACTTATATGCGCCCTTCTGCTTGAAAGGACATGGTCAGGATAACTCAAACAGGGGCAAAAAGTGCATCGATAGGGCAGTGTCACATACAGTTTTCTGAGCATGCACGGCAACAGACACACTTCGAAAAAAATGGAACAAATGTAACTCAGTACTCACTGCAGTGAGTGACAGAAAGCGCATTTCCTCGTCGACGAAAACGTGAAGTCACGGACAGACGGACAGACAGACGGACATGCGACGGACATGACCAGCACAATAGCGCAATTTTTCAATAAATGAGAATATGCGTTAAAAACTGTGTTACCGACGTTCTAGTAACCTGCCGCCCCGTGAAAATAAACCGTTTCACCGTTTTTTTTAGAGGATACTAGGGTTTCTAGTGTAAAATTGGAATACAAACGGCAACGCCTGGGTGTTTATTTTCACGTGCCGGCCGGTTACTGAAACGCCGGTAATACCGTTTAACGGGGATTTGTCTAAGATACACAGATTGATTCATTACGCACCGATGCGTAGGATGAAGCCAGTCGGGAAGTTAGTCATGGTGAAGAAAGGATACTTGAGCATGGCGAGAGCCTCGTGTGAGATGAGAGGTCTTCGTACGAACGCCCCCACGCCGCTGCCCACATGCACGCCGCTGAAGAAGGGGTTGCTGGGGCTCACACCTGTCCAGGGTTTGGCCGACACTCCTGGCATACAGTGGGGGGAAATAAATATTCGTACACTTGAAAAATCGTATTTTAATGTATGTAAGTACACAAACTTAACAGGAAAAGTGATTTAAATTATGTATAGAGACGCATAGTATTCAAAAATACTATCAAAAGAAATTAAATCTCAATGCAACAAAAAACAATGCAACATGTTCACTTTTCGGGGTGAAAAAAGTATTCGTACAAAACAATAAATCCGCATTATTTTAATATAATACTTGGTTGAATACCCTTTATTCAGCTCAACAGACACCAGTCTATTTCTATACGTCTCGACCAATGATTTGCAGATGCTGACTGGTATTTTATACTTTTAAATCACTTTTCCTGTTAAGTTTGTGTACTTACATACATTAAAATACGATTTTTCAAGTGTACGAATATTTATTTCCCCCCACTGTATAATTACGAGAACTGGGATATAATTACGATTATTTACCAATTAAAGTTTACTGGGAAATACTGACAAATTTAATTAACAAATGTAATGATATTTTTCTTGGTATTTTTACAACAGTAAATAGTCTTATCAAAATTTTCCCGAGGAATAGAAGATTTGTAAGGCACGATGTTTCAGGTTTCATTAAAGAATCTTAGCGTTAAAAAACTTGAATTATCAGATAAAATTATAGTTATAATCTAATAGATTACATCTCGTATAAATGCTCGTATAGTCTTTGATGTGGAACAAGGAAGAGCCCTTTTGACTGAACCAAAATATTAACTTCAAAAAATGCTGTTTCACAGCTGAGACCATCACTGGAAAAAATTGAGAGGAGACGAGTGACACAAAATTTCTCGTAGGATGTTTTCCGTAGGACAATCTGCCTTAAGGCTGATTCGAGTTCATACAATTTTTTGAGGTACCAATGGGAACTTTGAAGCTATCAACTAAACGTCAAGCGAACAGGAAAATTTTTTCAAGACAAAGCACACAATATAGAATTTTCGTGTCTGTGTCTTAGTTTCATGTTTCACTTTACGGCGGCAATGAATTCAGCTGAGTCCCTAGACAATCATTGACAAATAAAGAACAACATCATTTTTGAGCGCAGAAGCTAATATTTTCAGTACAAATGACAACAACTTTCCAGTGATGTAATCCCCGGACTAAATCTCATAGCACGAGGAGTGAAATTAAGCCATCAGCAGAACAGGCGTGATAGGAACTATGAACTACCAATTTAATGGTATGTCAAGTAACCAATTTACGAGTATGTCAAGTAAGTACTCCTACTGGCCGTTTATTCTGTAATTATCAATCGAAATGGCAAATAAAAATATATTTAAAAACAAAGAATTTCTTCGAAAATTCTCAATAATTTCTTCGAGAACTGACCTTCATTATCGGAGCCGCTCTCAGACGCAGGCACATGAGAGCTGTTAGCGCGAGGCTGCGCAGCAACTGCACGGTGGTTGTTGACGGTGGTAGCTTCAGCATGTGGCAGGTTGATCATGGCGTTGTGTGTCGTGGCAGGCGGGGTATCAGGCGTGGCTAGAGGCTCCAAGCCATCCATGGCAGCAACATCCGTCAAGACGTTGGATGTGTCGCACGCTTCTGTAGTCGGAGGGTCAGCCATGCAGCGCTTATTTGGTTCGGTCTCTGTAGAACTCGTCTCGACTTTCACTTGCAGTTCAACGGTCTCTTGCTCAATGACAGTTGCAGTGCGCTGGATCTTACGGCTCTCTGCCGTGCACTGTAAGCTCTCACATCCATGTGGTCCGTTCTCCACAAGGTACCCATTTGCTTTCAAAGCGTCGTCTCTGTTGTCTACAGCACTTTGTTTTGTTATTTTACCTTGAGATTTTTCTGGTTTATTCTTGATGATACAGTTTTTAGAATTCTCAGAGCTAGACAAATTTGAAAGTTCGTAATCTTCAGAACTGCAAACTGGGCTTCCTTTCTCCGCACCATCCTGGAGAGCAGATTTCTTCCAGCCGTCAATTTGTGAAGCGTTATTCAACGCGGAGGCGTTCGCAGCTGAGGTCACCCCTGAGGCGTTCGCAGCTGAGGTCACACCGGAGGCGTTTGCAGCTGAGGTCACCCCAGAGGCGCTCGCAGCTGAGATCACCCCTGAGACGTTTGCAGCTGAGGTCACCCCTGAGGTGTTCGCAACCGAGGTCACCCCTGAGGCGTTCGCAACCGAGGTCACACCGGAGGCGTTCGCAGAGGTCACCCCTGAGGTGTTCGCAGCTGAGGTCACCCCAGAGGCACCGTGAGGTGAAATCACAGCAGCACCTCCAAGAGTAGCAGCAGGAGGGGCCGTAGCGACGCTACAGGACACTGCAGGATGGGAGGGCAGGGGCGAGCTCCTGGATAGCGTTGGAGTTTGGGATGAAGCGCTGAAGTGACGCGTACGGTACAAAAGAGTCTCGTGTTGTGTTGAGTGTTCGTGCTGCTGTGTGAAGTGGTGGTGCTGATGGTGGTGGTGTTGCTGGTGCTGGTGGTGGTGGTTATGATGAGTGGTACGTTTTGGAGAATGTGGCAAGTGAGGAGAATGTGGCTTGTGTGTTGTGTGGTAAACATGATGGCGTGGCGGGGCCCTCACCACCACACAGGGGTCAGGGCTCTGACGCAGCAGGTGTCCACCAGAAGGACAAGGGACTGCGGCAGGGGCGGAGGAAGGCCCCACGCAGTGCATAGCAACGAAGCAGGTAGGGGAAGCGGCTAGGGAACAGCTACTGCAACTACTACTGCCACTACTGTCAAGCAGTAAGCAGCAACCAAGAAAACAATACCAAGTGAAACCACAAGCAACAATGTAACTAAAATACCGTGCCAAAATGTCAGGGTAAAAAATATAGGTAATATATTCCGGTTACTAAAGGATACCACTTCATAAAGATACCAAAAATATAAGCAAAAAATGTCCAGAGTAAGGTTAAAAGCTAGCCGGCAGTACAACCAAGAAATGTGTTAAAATTGACAGTGATTAATGCCACATGTATAATACCGAAGTAGGAATACATTATGATTTTAAATTATAGATTGCAACAGCGGTTAAATACGCTTAATAAACGATCAGAGCCAGCAAGCTGACATAAATAAATGAGTGAAGGTCAATGCAAAACATTAATGCAAGGCCAGAGAAAAAAGAATAGAAGGCAAGAAGTGAAGAGAATGGAAGGCAAGAAGTGAAGAGAATGGAAGGCAAGAAGTGAAGAGAATGGAAGGCAAGAAGTGAAGAGAATGGAAGGCAAGAAGTGAAGAGAATGGAAGGCAAGAAGTGAAGTGAATGGAAGGCAAGAAGTTTAGAGAATGGAAGACCAAGAGAGAAGAGAGAGCAGCAAAGTTAACTTCGCAAAGTTAAGAGCAGCTGACAATGTAGTTGGCGGCAGGCGATACGGCAACAAAGAATGTACAACTGGTGGGCAAAATTCCAGTTGAGGTTAGGCTAGTAAGGTTGAGGTTAGGCTAGTAAGGTTGAGGTTAGGCTAGTAAGGTTGAGGTTAGGCTAGTAAGGTTGAGGTTAGGCAAGAAAGGTTGAAGTTAGGCTAGTAAGGTTGAGGTTAGGCAAGAAAGGTTGAGGTTAGGCTACTGAGGTTGAGGTTACGTGTTAGGCAAAGTTAGGATACCGTGAAATATCAGAAAAACACACAACTTTTGAGTAAAAGAAGAAGTTCAGGCAATATACAAAATAAAACAGATATTTTAAAAACGTAAATACAGTTTTCAGGACGAAGAGGAAGGCGGGGGAGAAAGACGAAGCAGTCTTAATAGTCATTCCATTAGTTTAGTACATATTTAAGAAGGTAAGGTTACACCATCTGGCATCTACTCTCACAACACGTCTGATCGCACTCACTAACTTTACTGACACTGAAATACGAACAAAAGTACACATAGAAAAAATATAGGTAAATCGATGGTTTAGAAATACACAATTCAAAACTTAGTCTTCTTCAAGGCATGTGATGTGAATGAGTGTGTACGAGGCAGACGTCTTGAGAGGAATTATTGAATTAACAAATCAAACGATAACGATAGTTGGGGTGTGGCTGTAGGAACTAGGTAATGTAAGGGCAGACCTGTTGATGCTGAAGACCTCTTCAATGTCTAGTAGAATTATGAGCGTGTCGTATAGTAGTGCGTGTATCAGAGACAAGATGTGCTATGAGCGTGTCGTATAACAGTGTATCAGAGACATGATGTACTATGAGCGTGTCGTACAGCAGTGCGTGCATCAGAGACATGATGTACTATGAGCGTGTTGTACAGCAGTGCGTGTATCAGAGACAAGATGTGCTATGAGCGTGTCGTACAGCAGTGCGTGCATCAGAGATAAGATGTACTATGAGCGTGTCGTACAGCAGTGCGTGTATCAGAGACAAGATGTACTATGAGCGTGTCGTACAGCAGTGGGAGCATCAGAGACGAGATGTGCAGCTCTGTGCAGTTAGTGCTATTATTTAATGAGAAATTTACATGACTAATTTGATACCTATGGCTAACTTCGGATAAAATGAGCTACACGTTTTAAATCAAATTATACCCAAGAAGTCAACTAGGATGGTGATTAATACATCAACAAGTAGAAATCAAAACACGAAAATCGCCTTATCAACGTAACTCAAGTCTTGCCGTTATGAGAAAGAAAATGCACAATTCATCAATGACATCGAAGGTAATTGCTTAATTCTATTTTAGAACTTGACAAAAGAAAATTAGTCATTCAAACTTTTTTTGTATTTGAACTATTGCCCTAAAAAACGCTAATAAACACACGTGAATGGAGGTGATGAAAAGGCCCCAGAGCTTGGCAGTGCGTGTGAGAGTGTGGGTAGTTTGTCACGACAGAAGACGATACAACAGCACAAAATCTCTCAAAAACCTAGCTAAACAAATAAACTATCACATAATTTATAAAACATTATTTTTACAAATTATATTAGAGGCTTGAATCATCAATGCACCTTAGGTTTCAGCCACAAATCGGAGAGCTCGTAAGCAACGACCATCTTCCAAATGATGGCACACGTTTTCTAACCTTGCATAAGAAATAGAATACCCAGTGGAAATTAGGCATAAATCAGCTTTTTTTCTATAATTCACATGAATTACTCATGGTACAGAAATTTCACGGAAAAGCTTTTGCGTATGAAAAAAGTGTCGGGCTGTCGTCAACAGGAGCGTCAAGAAGCAAAGAACCTCATCGACTATAGGGTGGGTACTATCAAAAATAGGTAAGAGTTCGTAACCCCAGCAGCGTATCACAGACGTGTTTTCAAGCTAAACCCACTCATCACAGACGAGAAATCAGCCGCTACGTGTACTTAGGCCGTAACGTGTAACTTGTGCGAGTTTTGATAGTACGGCGCCAGGTTGATGCGAGTTATGAATTATGTATGAGGTTGAGACAGAACACATTTTCTGCACTGTACTACTTCGACGGCAAAAATGCAAATAAGATGAAAGTGGACCAAATGTGACGACTTGAAACAGCAGTGTTGAGAACATTTCGAGCCCTGAAGTTTTTTTCTGAAGACAAACGGAAGATAGTTCGCATTAAAATATTGATGTCCCTTTGAACTACTTCAATGGACAGAGACCGAAAAATTATCAAGATGAACTGAATCTACCCACGACAATTAGGCCAGTTTCCCGCACAATAAGGCAGAACGCACCTGAGTTCCATTGCTTCCTTCACATCTGCGGGACGTTGCGGGTTATGTGCATTAATTTCTTGACAAGGCTCTTTTTCAAATGTGTTGCCTTCAGGTTTTCGATCGAGGGATGTAGAGCACATAGTTTCCGGAGTAATTTCTGAAGCAGCTTTCATGGTTCCCGCAAGAAGCTCGTCAGGAGCGACAGTTGACTGAGGAGATGAAGGCTCGAGAGTGATATCAGGTAGTGATCCTGGAGTGACGCACAAAACTGAAGTAGCCAAAGAACAGTCGTCTTGATCTAACGGTGCTAATGTTTCCTCATCACTGTCATCTAGCAATAATATCGATGCATTGATATCACTTAATGTCTCAGCATGTTCATTATTTGTGTCTGATGTAGCTGTAATGCGCCCAGCTGTTGTCGCCGTTGAAGGAGCGTTCGTCATGTACGCATACGAAGGGCCTGCAGTACGAAAGAAAGGCAAAACTGTGGCAGTAGATGATTCGCTGGCCGTCCTCTCTCCACCCCTGGGCCTTCTAGCGGGAAAATCATAGCACTGTTCCGTGGCATATTCATCACCATTGAGAGCATCATCATCGTCGTCTTCATCACCCAGATAGAAGTTGTATAAGGGGTCTTTCTTCTGACGCTTCATGTACTCTTCAAAAAGACTCAACTTCTCGTCGTCATCAGCAGACATGACGCAGCTCAGATCATTTGGGATGCCCCCACGAACCCTTTCATTGTCCGTCAAATCCGATTCGGTACCTGAAACTTCAGATACAGATTCCGAGCCTGAGTCTAAACTTTCATCTAAGGCTGGACCAAACCAATCCACTAAAAAATTACCCAGGCGAATATTTGGCTCCGATTTTGAGCGGGCAAGTCGGCGACTCCGGGCTTCTTTGGAGACCTCACTTGGACCTGTGCCTTTGCTGCCAGACTTACTCAAGCTCAAGTTGAGGATAACACCTGATAATGAAATTCTGCGTCTGACTTTCATTTGTATGGCCCGCAAACGCTTTCTCCAGGATCGTCGGTGCTTCGAACCTGAGCCATCAGACAACGCTGCCGAGGGCTCGGTGACAGGAGAGTCTTCGGCGGCATCCTCAACGCTATTATCGTCAGACGAGGAGTCAGCAGATTCTTCGCTCGTGTGAAGCAAGCTAGCGGTAGAATCAGCTGATGTGGCGCCGTGGTCTCGAGTACACGATTGCAATTCTTTCTTCTCTTCTTGTTCGTTAGCAGAAAAAATTCCACATTCTTCGGCAATTTGAGCTAGAGAGGTTTCGCCTAATTCAGTCAATTTTGACTTGGCTTGATCATCTTTTCGCTGGTACTGAAAATAATCCACATTGCTATGAAGGTCTTCTTCATTCGTTTCCAATGTAGGAGAGGCTCTGTTGGGTGAGCGATCAAAAGAAACTTTCTGGGGCAAGAATGAAATCGATGGGCTCGCGGGCCTCTCATCATTCTTGTCATCCTTTGCCGAGAGGCTCGTGAGGCTCTTCATCAGGCGCCGAGGAATGCTCAATAAGCCCTTGGGCATGCCCTTGTTTGAGTAGTCAAATGATCGCTTGCCTGAGATCATCACAGCGTTCTCTGTTCCTTGATGATGATGATGATGATGATGGTGATGGTGGTGAAGACCTCGTGGCGACCGTTGCCGTTTCTGGGCAGCAGGCTGACACACTCTAAGATGGTGATCGGATAAACGTTGCTGCATGCTGATGGCATGACGAAGGGCGGGGGAGCTATTAGAACGATATTCTTGACAGCTGCCGTCACGGCTGGATGATGCAAGACCAGAAGCCTCATATGCCATGCGACTGCGCATTTGACCGAAATCTGTGGTGTAAGCTAAGACATCTGAGAGAGGACTCTCAGCTACTGGATTGAACATGTAGCCCTGCCTCTCAAAGGCACAAAATATACAGTCATTCTCTGAACTTTCAGGCTCAAACGAAAGTGACTTAGCACTCCTGGTGGGACTTGCTCTATTTGGTGCCGGCGATGTCACTGGAGACTGAGAAAACGAGTGGCAGCGCGGGATCAAATTCATGTCAGCCTCCAGCAGTGCGGGCGATGAACGTGGTTCTGTATGACCGGACGCGTAGCTCTGACCCCTAGCACGCCTGGGACGTTCAACATCAAACGGCAGTTCGCGAAAACATCACAACAGCGAAACATGCGGAATTAAACGCACAACACATCAAATATGGTAGGATAAACATTTATACGAAAGAGCAACCACCAGGCAATCGATAGAAACAAAGTGTCAACAGGAAATGTCGAATCTGCCAGAGGTGTGAATCGATAATTATGTTAAAACATATAATCTTACTGCGAAATAATATAATCGAAAAGTTTGCTATAAAGAAGAAATACCCAATCAATGGATAATAGCAGAGTACACAAAACTCTGACATATGCAAATCAGAAGGAAATGTTTTGAAATTGCACTATCCAAATAACAAGAAGCTGATGAGTAACAAATATAATTTACACATTGAGAGAATGTTAAATAATAAGAAATTTAACAGCATAGAGAAGCCCTCTGAGTGCGAAAAAGCTACCAAATAGCGATGCAAATTAAATTTTAATGGTGGTAATTAAAAAGCTTGAGAAGAAGCGTACACGACATTGATGACACACGACAATTATGATCAAAATTACACAATAGGTTTTAAAATTACAATACGGAAACAAAACAATGAAAGCGCATATGAAGGAGATACTACTAACTGATCAGGTTTATATTGACAAGTCTTAAACTTAATACCGGTACCAAGAAATTACCAGTGAGAGAAAGAATGGTTTGGAGGAAGTTAAGAAGAAGCAGATAGTAAGAGCCTTCATTGGTTGTTGCATTATATGGGTGCATGTGTATGTGTATATTGTGTGTGTGTGTTTATATTGTTTATGTGTTAATAATCGAAGACACCGCTCACAATAATACGCTAGATTAAGTAAGAGGCTTCGTTAGCAACACAGCAAGAAGTAAGGTTATACTATAAAGCAAGCATATTAGACGTGAGGACTCGACACGTCACACCAGTGAGTAGGGTTAGTTCACACGACCGAGGGAGAACAGAGAAATACTGCATTAGCTATCAACAGGTCAGGCCTCTCACTACCGGTACTCAATATATTTCACATAACTAATGTATTTCACTGTATACCAGTAAATTTTAGAGAAAATTTAAAGAATATATCAACGGTTGAAAATTGAAATAACAATAATTCGATCGTCACTGTATGACACGTGTATATTTTATCATCATATTTTATTTTATAGTCATTATATAACGCGTGAATATCAATATTTTTGTATTTTTTAAATAATTGAAAATATACGATGTTACTTTGCATAATGATCGTAAAGAGAAATTACATACTGACGATAACGATAATACATAACAAACACGGCACAAAATAATTCTCTAGCAAAGCAGTATTTGCAATAATTTACGCAAGTAGAAAGTATTTGCACTAACAAACTTGACCGACAGCCGCTAAATCTGAAGTTAACAACAACCGAATTGACACCAAAAATTACTTCCTAGCATGCCTATTGTTCTGCAAAGTATATATAATATATTAATTCCCTAAGCAAAGTGATGAAGAATAATATTATTACTGATATGAACGGCACGTACGGAGATGTGTGTGAGAAAATTAAGTGGGCACCCACAAGTGAATGCACCAGAGGGATTACAGTTCACAAGGAATTTAAAAGCAAAGAAAACGTCGAGGAAATTCACGATATCGATATTGAAAACGTTTCGGAGTAAGGCTCCATCATCAGTTCGACTAAACTAAAAATGAATAAAATCTTGATTTTATTCATTTTTAGTTTAGTCGAACTGATGATGGAGCTGGACTCCGAAACGTTTTCAATATCGACATGGTGAATTTCCTCGACGTTTTCTTTGCTTTTAAATTCCTTGAGAACTTGCGATATAAGCAGACTGATAATATAAGTACTTAATTACAGTTAAACTCTATAGTGAGTCATCCTCACGCATTATCCTGATATTAATGATAAAGAGGCTCTTTAAGAACAGCTTAGCTGTGTTCTATGCATCGTGCGAGCAAAACCAAGAACATTTAATAATCCGCTGAGATTTAGGAGCATATTTGCTTTTATGGCACAGTTTATAGTTACTGTTGTTCGCCAGTCTTTGCGAGTTTAGAAAGTTTAATTTTGCACGTTCGTTCCATTATCATTTGTTAGGGTCTTGCTGTTTAGATAGCGGATATTGCCTTTTGTCAAGGGTTCTTTTAAGAGTGCAAACATAAAATAAATTTTAACAGCAAATAGAAGTGAAGTAGCTGTAAGCAATACACTGACTGTTGATTGTGATGCGCCGAGGTGATGCCTTGCGGTGATGACATCTGCTTAGGAGCGCCCGCACCACCAGGATGGTGATGATGATAGTGATGTGTGAAGGCGGCCGCGTGAGATGACGCGATGGTGGCAGACGTGTGGTGTAGATGGTGATGGTTGGTACTAGTGATGGTGATGGCAGCGGCAGGAGTTAGGACAACGGCAGTGCCAAGACCCCGCACCACAATACCGGACTCTCCCTCCAGGTCAAAACATTGCCGGTAACTGCCCACCATTAAACTTATTAGCTCATGATGGGCGTAACTGACCACTAGACATCACGGCCGTAACTGACCACTGGGCATCACGGCCGTAACTGACCACTGGGCATCACGGCCGTAACTGACCACTGGGCATCACGGGCGTAACTGACCACTGGGCATCACGGGTGTGACTGACCACTGGGCATCACGGCCGTAACTGACCACTGGGCATCACGGGCGTAACTGACCACTGGGCATCACGGCTGTAACTGACCACTGGGCATCACGGGCGTAACTGACCACTGGACAGTCAGATTTTACTCTACCTAGACGATGATAATTCTTAACAATGCATTCCAATGCTACCCGCTACATGAGATTGGAACTGATAACACACACCAACGTAATGGAATACTTTTGTTGTCAGCCCGACGTCGTCATTATTTAGCGGCGAGACTTGATGAGTTAAACGGGAATATTCGACAGCCCAGAATTCTATTTAATTCTGAGAAGAATTCTATTTTATTTTAAGTCAACACAATTTTGATGCAAATATGCAAATAATATAACACCACGGTCCTTGTCAGTCAACCAGGACATCCTCCACTTACACCAGCGCCAAAATCAGATGTCAGTCACCCAACACACCCCGCACTCACCCCAGCACGGCATTGCCGCCCATGTCGAGCACCTTAAGCCCGATCTTGCGCTGCAACAAGCCCGACAGTTTACAGAAGAGCGTCTGCTTGGCCTCGTTGCTGGCGCGCGGAGATCTGATCTTGTCTATCCACTCGTACTCTGGGTCGTGGTTCTTGACCAGCTCCTCGACCAGCCCTACCACGCGCTGGCACGAGAACGTGTCCGGGATCTCGGGACCTACGGGACCGGTACCTCACACCAATGACGGTAACTCTCGTTACCAAGAATTTATATATACATAGACGAAGGTAAATGTATTCGTTGAAAATTGTCAAGTAAGTTGTCAGACGGTAGCAATCTTTATTTTTTTTTTTTGTGGCATGAGAACGTGTCTGGGATCTCGGGACCTACGGGACCGGTACCTCACACCAATGACGGTAACTCTTGTTACCAACCATTTGTATATACATAGACGAAGGTTAATGTATTCGTAGACAATTCTCAAGCAAGTTGTCGGACGGAAGCAATTGTTTCTTATACACGCCAAGTTATTATATACGAATATTATAAATAATGGTTCATGTATTCGTAGTCATAACGTGGAGCCGTGAGCGGAAAATTATGGAAATCGTTAGTAAATCCTTGTAACAAGTCTCGTTGCCAAGTCTTTTGAGACCAATAGCATTGTAGCCTTGATAAGAGTGAATTTATTCGTCGACATTGGCTAAAGCAATCAGGTTCTGGTGAATTCGATCAAAAAATAATCAATAATGGATTGGGATAGAAATAGCGTTAGTCGCGAGACCATCGCAAACGAGACTAGTCGTATTGTGCGTTATTGCACAGCAATACACATTTTTCACACTTAAGTCAGCCAAAAAGAAAATCTACATGTATAATGGACAATACTGAATAATTTTTAAAGAATTCTACCTCGTACGTGAGTGATGGATCAGACTTCAATAAGTCTGCCATCATCAGAGACTCACTGAAGAAGAAATGTACGCCACATGACGACTGTCGGAATCTGTTGAAGTCAGAGAAGAGGTCAACCTTACAGGTGACAGCCACCTCGCCCCTGAGCCCGTGCATGGTGTCGTAGACTGGCAGCCAGCCTGACATCACGGCAGCACCTGGACACAAACACCAGCCTGACATCACGGCAGCACCTGGACACAAACACCAGCCTGACATCACGGCAGCACCTGGACACAAACACCAGCCTGACATCACAGCAGCACCTGGACACAAACACCAGCCTGACATCACGGCAGCACCTGGACACAAACACCAGCCTGACATCACGGCAGCACCTGGACACAAACACCAGTCAACCACCACGCCAACCTGACAATATACATACTGTACAATTTCAAACACAGAAACATATATCAAATATGTAACTCGACGTCTGAGCTCGAATATTTCAATGTTATGCTTTAGGTGCTAGCAATGGTACTGCAAAATTGTGGCCAAGATTTATCAATGCAAACATAGACTGATGGTCACAGGCGGTGTAGTTGAAGGCAAGACTTGATTTGAATTTCAGTTGGGATTTATATTTGCCAGAGAATTTACATACATTTCATTGCTAGAGCATTACTTTCAGTAATCCCAAGCTCGAATTATATCCTAATATTCCCATATATTACATACGGTACCATATATTATTGTTAGCCTCACTGTGAGAAAATTATCAGATTTATTTAGCACAATGAAGCATCCCTTGGAAAAATTTCTATCGCAACAACAAAATTTGATAACAATTAACAACTGAAAGCATCAATCTCCTATCATTTGCGTTCAACACATAATCAAAGCTCATTTGATATTGCTGCTAAAACTTTTGCTTTCATTTTTTTCCATTCAAAGCCATTGAAATGAAATGGAAGTATAATATACCATAATATATATCTATATACTTAATTAAAACAAATAGTATTGTATGGTGAAGCTAAATTGTAACAGTACCTGCAGTTTGATGAGCAATGGAGGCAACCGCAGGTTGAGGAGGCGGGATGACCGGCGCTGAGCTGCTCTCATGGACGCCTGGCACTCCACTTGACGATGACAGTACGTGACTCAAGTGTTTGCTGTACCATAACATGATGATGTTAGCAGACAATAGCTCTGTCTATTAGACAGCAGCTGTGTCCATTAGACAGCAGCTGTGTCTATTAGACAGCACCTCTGTCTATTAGACAGCAGCTGTGTCTATTTGCTGTACCATAACATGATGATGTTAGCAGACAGCAGCTCTGTCTATTAGAACTCAGATCTATGCATCACTATACTGTAGAGGCAGAGGAAAGATTTATAAAACATTTTCCAGTTCTGTTCCTGGTATTGTATTGATAAGTACCTATCTTGGGGATAATATCGATTATGTAGGTATAAGCTATTGAATAAAATTCATGGAAAGAAAACATTGCATATTCCAATTTAAATATAAAACAGGCTAATTACAATGAAGTGAAAATACAAGTAGGTATAAGTGAATGTAGCAATGCTCATAAAAGTGTCTTTTGAAAGCTAATGTACGTAGCAATTAAGTACAGAGACAAATATCAAATTGGTCATGGAACTGAAAGCTAGCAATGAGGCATCGCTTAAAATTACTTTTTAAATACATAGATTGTAAAGTTTCCTACTTTGTATTTTCAGAATATCAATGGTAATGCATAGCAATGAAATAAGTGATGCACTTGCTGACCTGGTTAGTGTGGTTGCACCTAAAACAGGCAACGGTGGAGGTAACAAGAGAGGGTTCAAGTCCACATAAACTTTCCCAATGGCATCGTTTGCAGAGTAAGTGTCATGATCCATGAGGCGGATCTGTAGGGGCTCATCTTGAAGATCATGATCATCCACCTGAAATATCAAACAATATTAGATGCAGTGCATATGATAGAAAAGTATTCAGAACAGATAGTAACTGAGAGCAAGCAGAATATATTTTTCAAGAAAACTGGTTTCAGATATACTTTGGTATTGAATAAACATACTAATTAACAAAAATGGTATTCAACAATGAAGCTGTACAATAAGTGACATGTCTTATTTAAATTATACATTAATGAGATGGCTACATTGAAAAAAAATCAATCATAAATATTGAGAAAGCAATTGCTCCATTTTTTTATAGCCTCATCATGGATTTAATGCTTCGTTGGTCTCTCATGGGGACTGATGGCTGCTATCACACTGATATTTGAGAAAATAAAAGGATATGGTGCAGGAGAAGCTGCAATTAGCTCATGCCAGAGGTTTGTTCCAGTGAAAAACATGAAAGAGAGAGGAGTAGAAGGAGACAACTATAAATGATTTTATGAATGTAACATAATTGGCAGATACTTGTTGTTTGCACATTCTCATGGAATTACACCTTGTCATGGAATTTATACCCAACAAAAAATAAGGAGCATGTGCAGATTACTAAATAAAGATTATTGACATATATTGAACAACAATCATTTAATATTCATATAGATACACTTATGGGAGCAGAGAGATGATACCAATCAATTCAATTTTCGACAAGTATTTCAGCCTGAAATAATTGAACAGCCCAATTTATTACTAAATTTTAATTTATACCTCAAATCGAAACCATTCTGAATTCCATTGGGGGTTGAGGCTTTTCCTGAAGACATCAGTTTTGTGGGTAACATTTCCAAGCTTAACTTCAACATAGGCATCAGTGGTGTCAGCCGCTCTGTCCATAACAGGAAGATTGCGGCCAGCAATGATCCGTACTTTAACCTTTCCAGGCATGATTTCTGAAACAATGACTTTTCCTTACTAAAATATTTGTGAATACAAATTTACTTGCATCTTTCTGGAGTCTGAAACATAAAATGAGAAAAGCTCACCAGAATACATTACCTTTTGAAATGATTTGCTCGTATAAGGATAGCATAAGTTTGCAATTTGATTATCAAGTAAAAAATGTACTACTGGTGATGGAGTGGTCATAACCCAGGGTACAAGGAATAAGCAAATATCTGAATATCTTTGGTGACCAATCAGCAGCATCAAATTGCATGTCAACAGAAGATATTGCCAAGACATGTATCTTTAAATACCCATTTACATAAATTTTTAAAGGTTAAGGTAGTTTGGAGAATATATAAATACTTATTGCCAAATATTATTTCAACAAGTATTTTACATTATATTATAGTACTGATAAAATTTTGAGCCTAAAAACCTGGTAATTATTTTGGGCGTAAAACCTGGCAATTATTTTTATAAATCTTTTGTAGGCCATTCTTGATGGAAATATGTTTTAATTCTTATTAACTTTCATAAAATTATATAATTAATACTTGCTATTATTGAACATCAACAAATAAACCTGTGGCAAAGCAATTTGATTCAATATTAATTTTTTCTTATGGCTGTAGCTCCTAGAAAACTTTTCACAGAAAGATTTTGTTACATACTTTTAACATGGGGAATTCATGTGACATTAGTTTTCATTTTTTACCGGAAATTCTTATTTCAGATGATGGATTTCATGTGTAACAGAGCATGGAAGTATGGGGATACAACTTTTATGATATATTAGTACTTTAAACACATGTCATCTTTACATTGGGCATTGGCAATCAATATCAATAGATTTCAGAAACAATAGATCTGATCGGACTAATTGGTTCCATAAGCAATTTTGAGCGATGAATGTAGCCAAACTATAATTAATTTAACAATTATATATGAGATACTTTGAAGTTACTCAATCTTAACAGCATTGAAATCAATGCAGAAACATGAATTTTGTATATATTTTTAGGCATTTAACTACTTAAAACCTGACTTCGAGACTGCCTTTTATTTAGAAAAAATTCAAATTTGCCAAGGCTGATTTGCTGGTGCTGCAGCTGCTGTCTGCCAATGCTATCTTGTTTGTTCATTTAGTATGGGGTTTATTTTTGTGAGAGGTGGTGCAAGTGTGCTGTGCAGGCTAAGAATAGAAGTTCACTTACAAAAAAGCTTTCCACCTGAGGTGAAAAGCTTTCCTTTGTATAGTGCTTTGCCAGGTGACTGACTATAAATGAAAAGGAGGATCAAAAGTGGACAAACTGTTTCAATTGTATAGTACATCAGATTTATTACCGTCAACCGGGGTAACTCGGGACTGGCGGGGTAATTCGGGACAGTCCTCCGACACGGCGTAAAACTGTTATAATAGCAAAACTAATTGGAATATTGCAAAACTAAAAATAGTGGCGTAAACGTCAACATTTTTCCTATCTATGTAGTATAAAGGGAGTCGAAAAATATGACATTTACTAGCTTTGAAAAATTCCTGAAAAAAATGGTGAAAAGCGCTATTTTGAAAAGTTACTTCTGCTAAGGTCTGGAGCAAAAAAAATATTCGCTGTATTAAAAAATTTTACTTACATAAAAGTTGCACCCAGGTGTCGGCTTGAAAACGTAATTGACAGATTTTGCCTATCTCATTAAAAAAAAAATGGCAGCCATTTCCGCGCGGCGGGGCTATTCGGGCCACCCCCCCGGGGCTATTCGGGACACCCCCAAAAACGCATTTACAGTAAAACCTCAGTTAGCATAGGCTCCAGTTAAGAAAAAAATGGATTAAAAACAAAGAATATTGATTACATTTACCTCGTTTGGCGAAAAAATTTCACTTATGGAAAAATTAGTGCATCATTGGTCATCACAAAATTGTGCATAGCATGTCATGTATAGAATTGTGCACCAGGCATCATAGAATGAAAAGTAATTGACCTAAACTATGATTTATCTCTCCAAAAGATAGGCTGGTTGTCACTAAAACATTCCTTTCAGGAAGTTAATGATCAGGCGAAGTTAATGATCATGCAAAGTTAATGATCACATGAAGTTAAATACCACCTGAAGTTAATGATCACGTGAAGTTAATGACCACGTGAAGTTAATCAATTCGGGACACTCTTTTTTTGCTTCTGGCACCTTAGGAATAGCATATGGAATTTTTTTGACAATGCCATTCGATAGCCCTCGCAAAGAGCTATAAAATGAGCCTAAACTTGTTTATGAAATGTTTCATCGTAAGAAGTTATTAACAAAAAACGCTCAAAATCGTCCCGAATTACCCCGGTTGACGGTATAAAATTATTTGGATGTCTCTTGTTTAATAGATATTTTTTATTTTATCAAATGATTTTTTGAAAATTTTCAAAGTCCTTTGCTTGTAATGATCAAGTTTAAGTTAAGTATTTAGTTAACCAGTACTGTAGATGTAGTACATATACCATATTTGGGGGCAGGGCTTATGGCACAACCAATCACAGCTTGAAAGCATCCCCATCAATCCCCATCAACACAGCTAAAAAGCAGATAAAAGTAAAATTCCATTAACCAATCACAGCTGGAAAGCTGAAAGGAGCTAAAATCACAATCTTATCAACCAATCACAGCTGGAATTCTGGAAAGGGATAGTATATGTAAATAATGGACTGAAAGTGTAAAGTTCCTGGCCTTTCCAAGCTTTCAGGTCCTGCTTTCCAATATGCTATGTGTACTGGACTGCTGTGGATTGGTCCATTCCATAACAGAGCATTGATTGGTTCAAAGTCTCAAAATACTATATTCTCTTATATAAAATACCATGTTCTTATAGGTTTTTGTTATTGCATACAATTGGGCTCCATTTGGCAAGGGGCTGTGTCTGTAACAGACTAACAGTTACATATTTGTAAGTTGTAACACCATTTGCTATGCTGACGCTGAGTCTTCCTGACTGCCACCATGCACCCAAAACGGAAACCCCAGTGACCTAGTTGAGATAAGTCCTAGCCCTACTTCTTTCATAAATATTATGTCTCTAATTCTAATATCATATAATTTCAGTATGTATGAAATTTTGCTGCTTTAATATAATGTAGTAACAGTAGTATGTTTGTTTGATTGAAGAAATCCTGGTTCACAAAAATTGAACCAGGTTGTTACAGTTTAGAGTAATACCAAGATTGGTGCAGAGAGGCTCGGATTTGATCCCAGCTTTGTGCACTAGTTTCTGTTCAGAATTAACAAAGAGGCAGAGTGGTTGGTATTATTGCAGATTAACTACATCCAAAAAAAAGGGTGTTTTTTTTTTAATTATATGTTTTTTGGGGTTCAGTGCAACGGGTAAGTTTCATTCAAGATGTCGTGCGCTACGTGTGGATTTTTGGGTCGGAAAAAAATCGGTTTTCCGATGCCGACCGCCAAAAATGGATTTCAGATTCGTAATCTACACCCCAAAAAACATATAATTAAAAAAAAAAAACACCCTTTTTTTTGGATGTAGTTAATCTGCAATAATACCCTCTTTTCTATTTTTGGAGTCCGTCCGGCGGCCGGAAAAACCTAGCCAATCAACTAGCCTAAAACCTTGCAGGTTAGGTCCAATTAGGAACAGGTTCCATTAAAAATTTCAGATGCCAACCACCAAAAACAGATTTCAGATTCTTAATCTACACCCCAAAAAACATATAATTAAAAATAAAAAACACCCTTTTTTTGGATGCACTCAATCTAAACTCTAAAGTAGGTATTGCCGAATTTGGAGGCGGCAATTGGAGCAATCAGCACTCAGCAGAGAGTTGTGACTGTGAGTTAGAGACTCCAACAAGCTGTGAATGTTCTGCAATGTTAAGCGGGTACGGCCTAACAACAGTAAATGGTGCAACCGCTATTCCTATAGGCTATAGGCTATAGTATCATCTTTTATTATCATATCTTATATACAATATACATTATAGGCTACAATGCTACATTAGGTATGTCATTTCACAAAATTTTCAACATCTGCAGTAGGCTAGTACCACTCTCCTGCCAAAATATCCTTCATACCTAATCATAATGAGTAAACTCAAAACGTTTCGTTTTAGATTGCATCAACTCGAACTATTTAACTCTAAGGGCGGCCAGAAACTAAGCAGGAAGCAGGTCAGTTGGCGGAGGTGGTATTTCCTCCTAACAGTGAAGCAGGACTCGTAGCTGTAAGTCTGTTAGGGCCCAATTATCCACTATAGCCTATAGGTTTATTTGGCGGCGCAGCGGACCAAACGCAGCCGAAAGAGCTGTCACTCAGACTGTGACACTGACACACATGGACCTTGACCAATTTCTACGAAAAAGCACCTGGGCATGGATTCCTGCAAGTCCGGATCCTGATTAGAGTCCGACTTTTTGAAAATTAATTATTTTTCACTGTGTAAATTAAATGTATAACGGTCGATCTCACGCTATTCGTTCGTTCAGAACAGACAATATTTTTTTGTCGTTATCATCTTTTCGATTGGCGGTCATATGACGATGACGATGGGAACATTTTCACACATTCAAGATGTGACAATCCTATACCAAGCTACTGAAAAGATGGCTCATCAGGTACTGTACAACAAAGCTAATCGATAAACACGCTTTCAAGGCATAATAGTAATAGCATTAGTAGAATGGTTTACTAGCGCTTCAGCCATCAAGCTATTTCGCACCGGAGGTCAAAAGTTAACATCGCCGCCAGCTAGGCGGAAGGTCACAATTATTCAAAGTCTCAAATTAATTATCACCCACAAGGGCCGGAAAGACTAAATTGTCCAGCCCGCTGGAGCTGGCTCGAAGGAAGCAGCGTTAGCATCTCAAAGAGACGAAGTGACAGGTGAAAAGCAACAGAAACTAAGACACTCGAACAAGAAGTCGCTTACACGGGACGTCGGCCGCCCGGCCCGCACGAGAGACAGGAAGGGAAATGTAAGGAATCCTACCTACATAATAACTTGGCCCCACATCCCACAACCGAGACCTGCAGTCAGACAGAGCGAGCTCAGCGGTGGGGCGCTCAGGAACAATCCCCTAGGAGGGCGAGATCCCATAGGACTTCTGACGAGTACAGGCACGCGTCAGAAGTCCCCCTGAGGGGTGTCAAGTCACAACTAGTCATATAGAGTCCGATCGTGACCTAATTACTAATTCCAGTTTAAATTGAAAACGAAAGCGCCAAAAAAATTCACAAGGCTTGCACGGACGAGTTAACGAGTAGTTCAATAAATAGGCTAATAAGGTAATGTATTATAGATTGGGACCTGTCGCATTTTTCTTGCCAACAAAAGCCATTCCCACGCTAAATTTTGGAGAAGGAATAAAGATAGCCAATGAGGAGAAAAATGCCTCAAATTTGAAAAACGAAGCTGGTGGCCTCTTTCCTCACATGACCTTATGAGTTCGGGACTTTCAAGGCCCCGGTCACGCTGATGCGCCGCCTCAGCCTCTTACCAGTTCATTTTTTCCCTCAGATACGAAGACATCCGATGTCGTTCATTCTTAAGGTTTAGACAATAAAATCAGGATTGTGAACAGACTCGAGATTTACTGGATATAAAATTAAATTTTTACAGCATTTCAGTAGAATCAATAAGCACAACAAATTCAAGTCTGAATAATAGCCGAAAATTATAAACGGAAATTAATCAAATCGTCTGCCACGTTGGGTTTTTATTTTTTTTTCTCGTTGCTGAATATGTAAAGACTATGACTGGTCAAATCGTGGAAAGCTGATGCTTTCCAGGAACTCTGACCAAAGTCCCCCGATATCAGTTTTTTATTATAAACAAAACATATTAAAAAGTGACAAGTAGTTCAAGGAAGTCGTGATTTAACGCTTGAAGAGCCAGGTTATAACAACCAATATCTAAAGCTTCTTTATCAAGACTGGACTTTTACCACTCGTTTAGCATCTAAAGTGAAATGAGATGGTATCTGTAAATCTGGAATCATCAAAGAACACAACTTGTGATAAAGAAACAACAACGCAAAAACCTATCTCGTCGGCCATAGCAATAAACCAAAGTGGAGGTGAGTGACGGGACAGACTTCAATTGGAGTTCCAGGAAAGCACACCCACGGTCTATATAATAGGAGTAACGCGGTTTATTTCTTACGTTACATATACACACACTGAGAGCGTCTCAGTAAATCAATGGGGGAGGTTCTTCTAAGCACTAATATGGTACAAGCTTTAGCAATTGGTTCAGTATTAAAATTTCTGAGTGATTCGATAACACCTAAAAGTAATCGATCAATTACAATAGTTATCCGTATTCTTGCAAACAAAAGAGCTCCCTAATTAAAATAAAATAGGCAATACTAAATCAAGAATCATGTTCCTCTTCAGGGTGACGTCGAGCTCTGACGAGATAGGGGTTTCGCCGTCAGGCAAGTCTTGGAAGCATGTCATGACTCGTACAAAGGAAAGGGCGCGGCAAGAACTAACTGAAGTCATTGCTTAACTTGAGCAAACCAAACAATCAATTGCTAAAAAAACTTAACAAAAATGATTCAAGAGCAAATAATCGTAGACATAGGACTTGGTGACACTCTACAATCAACGTCACGCGAACGTTTTCACTCAGAAATTCTTAAATATTTCTCCCATAACACATTAGCTAATAATAATACCATACACTATGCACAGAACAAGTCATCACAATGAGGAGCAAAACTACCTGACATCACCGCAGGCAGAGCGCTTTACAGACGCAACATGGCGGCACCTCAGGGAACCAGACCCAGAATAGTTGTAGCTTCGTAATGTACCACGGCAATGATGACTCCAATAATAGCTCCTCAAAGACCACGCTCACAGACATGATGCCAGCAATAAATTAGCGACAGCAAATATTGAGGCGATTCAACGACAGTCATTTCAACGACTTTATAGATACAAACTCTTGCACGCTTATGTACACAACACTCACAGTTATGTGCAGCCGACATAAATATTACCAGAGGAAGAATTAGTACGCAACTGCAATGGCGAAGTGCAGCAAACGCACAGAAAAATCATTCAAGTTGAACAAATCTTCTGGAAAAGGTGAGCATGCTTCTGAGGTCAATACAACAGAAGGCAATTATGTAACACTAACAGTTCAAGTTAACGAATTGCAATACAGATATGAAGAAAATTTATTGGCTCTATGGTTGAATACAAAAAAATATATATAAAGGTTATGACCTTGATTCAGATTTTAAGGTAAACAAGAACGCAATACTTTGGTTCTCCTGCACATACAAAATACTTGAAACAGTTCACAACAGTAGAGGAGAAAATGAACAGAATAGAACGTTGTTGCTAATGCGCATATGATTCAATGTTTTGAAATAGACATGAATCAAACAAACCTCACGATATCAAAAGTTCGGCCATCGAAATGATTAGACCATCAAATATGAAAGAAGAGCACGGAGAAGTAGCTTATGATCTAGCACAGCACAGGTACTTACCACCTACGAGTGATGCGAGCAATAATGCGGAACTACTTCCCTTAATTAAGCCGCATATGCACATTCATACAAATAATACACATAATATAACAACAGTCAACAACATTTCTGGTTAAGAACTGGTGCATATACATACAAACCGCACTGTATCTTGACCACAGTTTTACGGCTTAAACGTTCCCAACCGTCAATAGTTTCTTCGTAAGGAAATTAACCAGAATAACGACGGCTTCAAGAAGTAAAAATTATTTTATCGCTAATTTAAACATCATTTTCATCGAACATTTTGACCATCAACACAGTAGTAACGAAATTATTAGAAAATGCTTTGATACTTTTCTGGACTGCTTAATGATCACCGATGATCTTGCTGCAAACACGAGATGAGAATCGTCGAAGCAAACCATAAGGCTGCCAAAAGGATGCACGTTTTCAAGTTGTAAATCTGGACAGGTCCGATACTCCTTCGAACGCTCCGCAACAACTTTCGCATGATGCGCTTGAGTTTAAAAAACAGTTGACTAATAATTATGTCTTTTCTCAAAATAAATGTCTTACACTATTCACACTACTACAGCCGCCACAACAGGACCTTACGGCGGCATGTTTTACTTTCACCAAATTCTTGAGAGAATATGCCTAATGTATCGTCCAGGCAGCAGAAACGTTCAAATATAGTACCGATTTATCTCCGAAGCAGAGTTATAGAATAACAAAAAAGAGAAAAGAGAATAACAAAAAATTCCGTACTGCTGTCTTGCAAGTACCAAAGTAGCAACCTACTAACCCAGTCTACTGCAAGAACTTTAGTTAGCAGGCCTAGAGATATGAACGGCATTGACGACAGGTTAGGTAGCAGCAAACAAAATGTTAAATGTAGCGTTTCACTCAAATTTTGAAGATGAATGCCACCCAAGTGCAACAAAAAGATTATAATTCAGTCTTAGCTAGTCACAAGCTCAGGAGAACTCGATAAAAACAGCAGGTGCTGCTTGCTTGGGTCGATTCTTGCTGAGTAAATTGAGTACCACTGCATTAGGAAAGATAACTTTGCCCATTGCTGTTAACCAATGTCACTAAACAGACATCACGAGTTTCATGTACACAAGTGCGGCTATATTATATACAATATATTACAAAACAGTGGTAATTACAGTAAACATCGCAATACCTTTATATTGTATAAAGAGACGTTTATCGTAGAGTTACGGTTAGGTAATATCACAATGACACGCTATAGAACTTGACGCAAGAGAGAATAAGTTGTGAAAGCGTGCAGCAGGACACGGGCAATGTTCATATATAACCAAATTAGCATATACTCTAACCACTTGGAATACCTTGCATCTTTTCCAAAAATTCGAGAGCTTAGTAACAACTGGTTCTACAGTTCGGACGCTCTCGTAATATTTTCAACACCAACACACAGCTTATGCGTTCCAGGCATTATTCAAGAATTGCATAATGAATTGAAATTCATTCAGAGACAAAACAAAGTTGAGCTAACGAAGGAGCATTTTTACAAAATAAAAGAAGCCGATTCAGAAAAACTTCAGAGCACAAAATCGAGGAGCATCAATCAGATGTATTATTAGACTTGAAATTCGGACAGTTTCAGTTGTCTACAACACAAGTAATTACATTGCGTCCTTCTCGTTCAGTAACATTAACTATACAAGGCACTTTACTATGAAGTTTGATGTGTCCTCTCACTAGTGCTAATCATGATGGAGTCAGACTTAAGTCGGTCTAAAATATTCAGAATAATCTTCACGTCACTTGTTATGAGACTTCGTTAAGTATTAAATAGTTCAATCGTAGCTCAAAAGCCGATTGAATCATCGGCATCAAACATCAATGGTTACAATAATGACTCGATATGCACACAATTCTAGCCATCAGTAACAAAAATGTAACATTTTGGTTAAATTGTACGAAATTAGATAATGACATTATTCGGCGTCACATCTCTTATATAGAAAAGTGTTAAACATGATAACGCTATCCAATTTGTCAGTACCACAATTACATTAAAAACAAGCACTGCAGAAATTTTAAAGAATATGAATCAACGTTTATAAACAAAATCAAGAGCTGAGTAGTGTCAGTCGAAACAGCACCAGCATCACGTAGAAATAAACACGAGCGTATATATATTTATAGGTTAACGAATCACTTTTGTTACAACTCTGTACAAAAACGAAAGAAGGGGAAAAGGAAATACAGCTACTAGGTTGAATAACGACAAAAAAGTTTAACACTAGATATGGAATTCAATATCTACGAAAAAAACTCATAAGCAATGGCAACCGTGGTGTATCGCTGCAATGCCACGAGCCGCGCTCACGAGACACAGAGGCACAAAGGTTCTGTCAAAAAATACGGCGAAGGGTTAAAATATTACATCATCCAGTAGCTGTACTCTTCCCGCGACCGAGAAGAAATAAACCTTAATATTCGTTCAACACGAACTATGGCAGTGATTCAATATTTGTGTTTTAATCTTCCTTCTTCATAACTACAGTTCGGATCCCTAAAAAGTCAGCTGGCTCTCATTAGTGGCGGAAAGGTTTTCAAACTAAAATATTTCAGGAAACTGTCCAAAGAAAGGTAACCCGAGCTGGACCAAGAGAACTACAGAAAATCAACAATCTCAAATGCTTGAACAAACTCATCACTTTTAAACACTCGAGTTATTTCAATAGTGCAAACTAATACCGCAATGCTGCATTATTACAAAATTTACAGTTTTTGGCGCTATTGCTCTATCTTACAATCTTATTCACGGCAACAATAGAAGATGGGCAATGTAGAATATTGATCCAAAATGACGAGCTTTGGAATACTGCAGAGTAATTATAAATAATGGTAATTAGAACAACGAGAGTTGATTAGGAGGAAGTTCCTCATGTGGTATCAAGAGAGCGGCCATCATTTGGAGCGAGCGACGTTAGACGCGACAGGTGGAGGTGCTGCAGACGGTACATCTCTTGAGGGCTGAGCAGGTAGTCTTGGGGCGTCATTACTGTAGTGATGTGGGTGGTGATCACCGTCATGTCTGTTGTAATGCGACCGGCCGCCACGTGATGACGTGTAACTGCTGCTGCTGTACTCACGATTACCGTGCTCACGGCGCCCCGCAGCCATCCCACCACGACCGGGCTGACCGTAGGCACCACGGCTACCACGACCGCCACCTCGGTCTGTCAAATATACCAAGTGTACTGAATTTCTAGCAGCACTGTCATTTCTTAGTGTTGCATATAAATAAGACTGGGAATCATTTAAAAAATAACAAGTCTATGAATTAAAATATTACGTGAGATGAATATATTAAGCCCTGATATCTTCTTCGGGCGGACAAGTGTGGTAACACTTACATTGAACTTTGATGTAATATGGTAGGTAGCACAGTCTGTACGACAAGGAAGATGCCACAATATGGCCAAGCGTTTAGCTCAATGATTGACTACGGCAGAGGCGCGAGTTTTCAACCTCACCACGTTTGCTCACGAGTCAGTGCAGAAAAATACTGTCGGAACCGCTAGAATGAATAGGAAAACGTAAGCCAATGATCTTTAGAAAATGGAAACTTAGACCGTAGAACCCTTCCTTAAATGTATGAAAACTTTCAAAAATATCAACGAAATTTACTAACCTGGGAACCTAGAAGGAGTTCCACGAGTGGGTCTGGTCAGAGTACTTCTTTTATCTTTATCCTGGGACAGAGGAGCGGCAGTAGCAGACGTGGCCACCGCACCGGCACTAGAAGCAGCAGTTGCAGAAGTGCTGCTCCCCGTGCACGAGTCTTTGTTAGCGCCGTCACCGACACCACCAGACGACGCTGCGACTGCTGGAGCTTTCTTAGGGCCTTGACCGGCTATATGAGCCCACGTGGTAACGGGCTCCTGAGGACAAAAAATGGAATTTTAAAGGCACTGCAATCTGATTTCACTTATAAATGATCCGAGTTACTACGAAATTATGGAGGTAATAAATTCACATAATGTTGTGTCTTCAAAACTGCCCTGTTTTTAAGCGGCATAATAGCCGTAAAGAAGTGACACAGCTCACGGCCCACATAGACATAGGATCTAACTCCAAAGCAAACTTAATACCCTGCTCATATTAGTGACAGCATCTCAAGTATGATGAACTTTTAAACGCTCCATAAACTATTCGCAAAACATTTTCCTCCTTTAAATATGTATTCTCATGAGATTCTCTATCATAGGTACAATATGACACAACAAATTACTATTTTAATCATTGCTGACTGATGCAGAAGTTACTCACAGATGCCTCGGAGGCTTGGGCAACAGAGACGGAAGTGTTTGTATTGACAGGAGCTGTTAATGCCGCAACGCTGCAGTTAGCAGCAACAGGAGCCGCGTTCGAACTGTTTGCCGAGGTTTTGTCTTCGACTTCCGAAATTGAACTTCTTGCTATTTTTCCTTTGCTGCTCAAGTAAGAAATTTGGCGATCATGAGTCGAAATTTAATGGATGTTTTAAAAGTCACAAATTTCAACAGCTCAAAATGATCCTGTCCTGCAGTGGGAATAGGACGCGTGAGGTAAACGATGGTCAGACCTACACTCAAGTTATTTGAATCAATAAATTGTGTTAAGATAAAAAAGCGAGCTCTTGGTCTCAATTGTGACTCACTTGTTGGGAGGAGCTGATCTCGAACTGGAAGGGGGAGGTGAAGCATTACCGTTCAGCGTTGGTTGATGACTTGAATAACCACTATAGCCGCTTTGATCCTTGTGTCCTCTACTCCCGTAATGTCCGCCACTTGCTCCTGTGTGATGGTGATCTCTTCCTCCACGAGTTGCGAATCGATGACCTCGCGGTTCTTTAGCCTTTTTAGTTATCCAGCCTCCATCGTCCCCTCCATCCTGACCTTCAGTGGACTCAGTCTCGTCGCCATCAGTTCTATCAGACAACGGGGCAGGGGTAGTTGGCACAGGAGGAGCAGCTGGTGGGGCAGCTGTAGGTAACACAGAAGCAACAGAAGGAGAGACACTAACATTCTGAACCTTGGGAGAAGCACTCGCAGAAGAAGTTCTTGCCACTGAAGCTTTAGGTTGCGGGACATTGCTTCCATATTGTGGTTTAGACACTGAAGTAGGCGGCTTCACGGCACTTGAACTGACGTTATTGTTAATGCTATTCGAAATGTTACAGCTGTTGTTCTGCTGTAATTTGAGAGCAGGGGATGAAGTTGTGGTAGGAGTGGTCAGAACAGGCTTGTTACTTTGAGTTTTGGTATTACTGTTCCCATTTTTAACGGCAGCATCGGATCTTCTGTTCCTGGGAGCTCGTGGTTGACGCTGCTCCTTGCCACTGTCCAAAGTAGACGACGAGTTACTGTTGTCACCAACAGCACCATTCACCAAACCACTAGCATCATTAGTAACAGCAGAAGCATCTGAATCAGCCCCTTTATTGAGAGCTGGAGGTGCTTCTACGCGAGGTTTCTTCATTACATCAGAAAATTTAGGGCCACTGGAGGCACTAGCATCCGACCCTCTGGAAGAATAATGAGGATCGGAGGGCGGAGCTACAGAGGTTGTAACTGTGTTTGAAGAAGTTACAGGTACTGCAGCCGACGCAACTGACACAGTTGAAGTTTCTTCAGTCGCGTACGTGGGGACTTCAGAGGCTGTGCTCACAGTTGGGCTGTTGCTAACCAAACTATTAGCTTCAACCGAAGAATTTTCATCAGCCCCAGGTAATGGAGGGAATGAGTCAGATTCTAAAGCAAACTGCTGCTGATGTCCTAAAACTTGCTGAGCTTGGGTGAGTTTTGAAGCACTTGATAGAGAAGTATTGGAATTGTTACTTCTGCTGGAGCTATCATTAATTGAACTAGATTGGTGTTTTTGTTGACTTCTGTTGTTATCGCTGTGTCTGTTATTACCTGATAATCTGTGGGAGCTCATTGCATTGCTTTGTCTATCATCACCAGTGTTAGATGTACTAGATCCTTCATCACGTTGTCTTTGTCTCCCTCTATTATTGTTGTTATTATTACTATTATTGTTACTATTACTGTGACTATTACTATTATTGTTGGTATTGTTATTGGCGCCGGAATTATTGTTACGGGGCGGCATGCCCCTCATGGGTCTATGGGACATCGCGTCCCTGCCCATGTAGTGATGAGGAGGCCCTCCAGAATATATACCGTAGCCTGGGGGATGATGGTGTTGATGGTGATGATGGTACGGGTTACGGTGAACACTACCGCCTCCACTCATGTTGACAGGATGTGGGCCACCACGCTGATGGCCGTACATGCCCTGGCCGGGGTAACCAGAGTTATTGCTGTTGAATCTGGTGCGGTGGTGCAGCGAGTGGGGAGGTGCAGTTCCCATGAGAGGGGAGTTATGGGATCCTTCAGGGTGGAGGAAAGGAGGCTGGGGTATTAAAGGAGCGTTAGGGGAACGCACGTCATGGTTTTTGGAGTGATGCTGATTAGAAGTGAGTAGAGGAGGTACTGGTGGAGTGTCGGTCTTCATTAATAGAGGGGAACTGCGGCCACTATCCTGTTGAGTTGTAGTGCTATTGCTAGAGCTGTTATCACTGGCGACTGCACTAGCACTATTGCTGCTGCCCACTTGCTGCTGCTGGTTTGAGCTACTCATATGCTGCTGCTGGTGGTTGATGACGCTGCTTTCTTGCTGCTGTTGATGTTGCTGTTGTTGCTGCTGCTGTAGATGGTAATGCTGCAAAGACGCACTACCACTGACAGTGAGCTGCGGTTGCACGTTCGCATAGGAGTAAGGTACAACGTACGATGGAGTAGGCTGCGAGTAGGAACTGAAAGGGACCGAGTAGGCGGCACTTGTGTGTTGAGAAGGCAATGGAGCCGAAGGTGAGGGAGATGAGTGAGGGCGGCTGAAGAGACGTGAAGGCAAAGAATGCGGTCCTGCTGAACCGCCAGTGGTGCCAGACGGGCCTGCAGCTCCCGAAGAGGTTGAGGGAAGTGGAACGCGGCTGGTATCACGGCTGTCGACATCAAACGTAAGTCAGTAATAACTCCTATGTTCAGTCCAAACTATCAGCAATATTTCCCATGCTCATTCAGTCATCAATGTCACCTACTGCTCTTCGCAAACAAGGGATAAGAATATTCTATACCGACTGAAGCATGATGAGAAAAATTCAATTTTGGCTCAACTGAATTTCTAGCTTTCAAACGTGAATAAGGGGAATTCAAAGAATCTCTGGTGTGATGAAGAAGCTAGGTTAACATATAAAAAAAAAAACAGGCATATAGAGACGTTACTTTGTACAGACCAGATTCATGTTTTTTTTTTCAAAGTAAAACCTCATCTAGATAAGGAGTCTACTAATAACCTTATTTTCTGAAATGAGGCGGAAATTCTCGTAACAAATATTCACAGAAGATAATACTACTATCTCAACAAGATCAAAGAACCATAAATTGGCAAGTAAATAAAATGTAATGACCGGCAATTGAACAAATCCAGCATCACAAAAGTGCCTCTTCTTTCGACCCTGCCTTTGAAGCGCACCTAAAACTCAAAGATTGCCTTACTTTTTATTATTGACAGCACTAGAGTTGTTGGCTGAGGCCGCGTTGCCAGTGCTGTTCGTGTTGCCATTGCTGAAACGAGGGCCAAGCTGCCCAGCGGTGGGCTTGTATGTGCTAGTCGGATTGAGTCCGTTGAAACTAACAAACTGGCTGAAGTCCAAAAAATTATTTTGATGAGAAGTCCACTGAGTCATCAGGGGTGACGGATAGAACTGTAAACAAAAATGAAGAAGAAATGCATTACTATGACAACCCAAATATCTCATTTCTAGAGCCCTTTTGTACCTTCTGTAAAATTGCGATCAATCCTACTCTGATTGAAAGATTTGATTCCTTCTCATATGTGTAGGGACTGAGTCGTGATGTCTCTTATTTATATGATTATTCCTGAAGAAGAAGTCACCGCAAATCCGCAGAGAGTTAACTAATCACAACTCAACTCATTGAACTAAACTAATTTACAAATTCTATCAAACTAATCAGAAGTAAAACATCGCCAGTTAAGAAACCTAATGTCATACAAAATGCACCATTGTTACATAGTAAAAAAAAAAAAACTTCGAATTTACTTCAGAATGGCATTATTCAATATTTATTAAATATAATATTTATACATGCAGAGAAACGGTCAAGATTGTAATTTTGAGGCAGAATAATTATACCCAGTGATTTTCTACAGAGCCAACATCAAGAATAAATGCGCAATGATATTTATAGAATTATGAAGTTAATAAACGATAATAATGAAGGAATTAAATCCACTTCTAGAAATGAAATGATACAAAGAAGCCTTTAAACTAACACCACCTTGAAGCCTCTAGCACATTGAGCAAGTAGATTTTATCCCTCTTACGCAGGCGGCCTGTCGACAAGTTGAAGCCACACTTTGTGGGTGCCAGTTTCCACTTCCAATTGAGGAAGTCATGCTTCAGCTTTGCACCACACAACTCTCCCGTTACCATTGGCAATTAAGTGAACAATTTATAAATTTCGTCGCATCAAAAATTGCATCCTAATTCAAATTTCACAAATTTAAACAGTCAAAAACAGTTTTTTTTAAGGGAGGGCTGGCAGAAGCAACTTCACCCTTTGAAAAACCGGCAATCGCACATTGCTTGCCAAAACAAGCATGAAAGTTTTCAAAAGAAATTCCAATGAAAAATCAAAGAGTTTATAGAGGATCAATTTTTAAAGTTAAGTTACTCACGACTGCTGGCATGGGATGTTGGATGTTATAGTAAGGCTGGGCTGGGTAGCAGGCTGCCGGAGCTGCGAGGTGAGAAGGGGCGATCGATGGTGATCCTGCAGCAGCCACGGCTGCGGGGTGGTGATGGTGGTGGTGGTGATGTTGGTGATGAGGGTGTAGCGTGTGAGGATGGTAGAGTAATGGGCTACCAGCAGCAGCTGCTGTTGACGGCACGGAGCCTGAAATCAAAAGGATAATGATATTTTTGCTCAAAATATGTCGATTCGAATCGAAACCAGCACTAAATTACCACACAATTTGACTCACTTCTCAGGCATAAATTTTCTCTCACCTGGTTTATTCAAACCATCGTTCTAACTGCAGGTAATTTTTTTATCACCTTTTGAAATTTGCTGGACATTCTGAAGCCTCTAGATGATGATAATTTGAAACCAGTCTCGGTATGCTAAAAACTTAATCAAAATAATGTATCGGGCACTGTTTATGTGAGGTTTTGGGCACCGTATGTATGTTCCTGAAATTGTGTCCATATGAAACCGAATTGATATATTGCTATGTTGATAACACAAAATTGGAAATGAAGAACCAAAGGTATTAAATTAAAATAACAATGTTCCAAGCATAATTTCAATAAAGGCCTTTCTTTACCACTGCGACTTATTATAGCAACGGAATCATCATTTGCGTAGCTGAGAGATCCTGAAAAAATGTTTGGTCTCATTTTTCAGTTTCTGGATGAGGTCTTCAGCGAATTCAGAAGTTTAAGAATTTCTGGGCTAGCTGCCCAATATGTTCAAGACTTCTGTAACTTCATTCAAAGTACCGTAGAAATAATTCATTCTTTTGACTGCGAATTTTGAGCAATTGAACTTGAAACTTGAGGCATGTTTCAATGCTAGACTGAATTTTCTCTTCCGTTTATACGATCGTTATCATGAGAATACTAGCAAGAGCTAGCTTGCGCACTTATTACGGAAATCTTCGTAGCATAACAAGCCAGCCACGAGATCTGCAGACCATTAGGAAGTTTAACAAAATGGGCGCTGAAATATTGATACGGAAGAGTATAATGAGATCAAGGAAGAGAGAGCTCACCAGTAACAACGGAGCTCGTTGTGCCGCTAGCAGCAGCAGCGGGCTGTATTGCACCGGCTGCTGCTGGGGTAGAACCCGGGCGCTGAGTGTGGTATAGGGCAGCATTTGTGCCTCCTGCGTGCACGCGATGACATAAATACTCACTTGATGTACTCAAAAACACCCACTGAACTTATTTACGTGTAGATTTTATGAAAACAAAACCACCAGATGAAGTATTCATGGAAATCAACGACGGCGTAGAGGTAGAACATTTCAACAATACAATTGATAGGAGAAAATGTAATGCAATAGTAGTGACAGTCTTGCAACATCGACACAGTAGACAAAAAAATTAATCCAGAAATCGGCAACCGCATAAAGAATTGTTTAATTTAATAGCGTGTGCCCAAAAATTAGCTATATTTTAGTGATAAATACATTCTACCTGTTTGCATTTTTTACGTCACATTTGACTATGCAACTTGGTTATAATTCGTCATACAATTGGATAAAAGTGCCACGGCATCGCCGAAACCCAATTTTTCTCGTTGTTACCCAACCAAAATTTGTAAATCACCCATGCCTAAAATGTCTTTTAGAGTTGAGCTTTTGCTCACTCACCAACACATGCATCATTTCAGAAGACATTCAGATTGAATGCCAACAGAGAATTAGATATTTATTGAAATTTTTGAAACTGTTGGCATCTATAAATTTGGACTAACAATTCAAGCTCATTAACTTCTGGAATGATTTATATCTACATACAGACGGCATTTTAGTTTCATCTCTTGAACTTACAGCCATGTTCAACAGACAACAAATCTTCAACATGAAGTTTTATAGCTGAAGTATGGTGCGGGAATGATTTTCAAAATAGTGAAAAGGTCTTGAAAGAAAGAAGACACACAATATTACCCACTTACAACTGCACAAAACAAATATTTTGGTGGCAAAGCGTGAACTTAGCGGCGCCAGTCTTAGCGGCAAGTTAATGCAAACATAATACATTGACTTGGAGGTAACAATCAAATTTAACCCATCAAACATTGTAATGCTGTTCATTGTTCACATCAATCTATCAGACAATTAATACAAAGTTAAACCATGTGATTCAACGCAAAAGATTAACTTTCTTGTATAATGAAAATAGCGCAGCAGAGTAATATAAAAATATTAAAAATCAGTGTGTGATAATATGAGAGGTCGATCATGTTGGAAAGTTACAGTCAGCATTACAGATGAACTGAAATAAAAATAAATACTGATGAATACTGAAAAGTGATAAACTGAAATAAAAGTCAAAATTGGAAATTTAATTGAATTACCATTTGCAATTGCAAAAAACATTATTTTAGCAGATAAACCAAAGCAAGAAAACCATTGGAGAGATGAAAGGGTAGTTTGGCTGAAATACTCAACAAGGCCTAAGACGGCAAAGTTGGATATGGAAATATAGACACAAGAAGAAACTTTTTTATTACTTACCAGCTATGTGAGGCAAGTGTGTGGTGGTGATGGCCACACCCGCCACACCGACTTGCTGCCCAGTCTGAGCAGGAGCTCCTGCAGCGCGTGCGTGGTTCCCTGAGAAGGTCGTCATGGGCGTCGCCTGGTTGCTCTTGATGCGCGCCTTGATGGACTCTCCTCTGAAGCTCTTCACGTGCTGGTGCAGGTATCTGCGGGTTGCATTCAAAACCTCATGCCATATTCCTGCCTTCGTCAGAGCTTGCGCAAAAGCTTATGATTCAAGGGTTATTTAAGGCAGGAAACGCTAATGCACACGCCCTCAAAATGATGCTAAATTAGCAGTACCATAACTAAAACCAAGTCCTGGCACTCAAAACGAAGAACACCGAGCAGAATCTGACTCTTCAATTTAAAAACTTTACAAGACAAATGTGTAATCTTGAGCGTTTTTTTTTTTTTTTGAACACTCAATTCTACACATAATATAGGCAGGTAAAAACAATTAATGATAAGTTAGTGGTGCTAAATCTTTTATCAGAATGATAAAAAATTCAGCCTGAGCAAGTGGTGAAGACTCACAAAAAAGCAGTGTAGGCCTCATCACCAGACTCGAAAGTGATGTACCAGCAGCCACTTGCAACATAGCGAGCTGACTGTACTGGAGGACATGGATCCTTGAAAATGCCCTGCAAGAAGTATACATTCATCAGAACATTCAATACATTTTCTCTTGTATACTGTGGAAAAATTTATTTGTCTTGGAGGTAATGCAACTAAAACACCTGCCCTTCTTATCTTCTTTCCTCAGCCACAGTTCAGGAAAAAACTATAAACCAAAGCACCTTACGAGACATAAAATATACTTGACGTATTTTAGTTAATAATTCAGAATAGACTGTCCATTGTCATAATAATTCAGAATTTTGTCCAGTATTGACAATCATTTCTATTACTGATATATGACGTGAACAAAATCATGGGCATTGAAAATGGTAATTCATTGTAAAAACACTTACGAGGATGTCCTCCTGTGTGATATCTTCCTTCATTTCTCTCAGGATGAGCACATTCCTGCCAGGCCTCATGCGCACCCGACCAGTGGCGCTGTCAAAGTCCCACTTGGAGTCCGCTAGTTAGAACAATTTAATTTATTGTTAAAAAATTTTTTTTACAAAAATTGGAAGGAAAAATTCAAGTGGGAGCATGAACCATTTGATTGTTGACTTTGGTGTGATGTGTTATTAATCAAGGATGAAAAAATTATGAAAAATCTATCAATAAGAAGCTGATTAAAAATTCTATTTGCCTATGCTAAATGTGTATAATCAGATTACTATATAATAAAATAACTACAGTATACTATATTGAACTAATTATATGTATCTCAACTTTTTGTAAAAATCGTTACTGCATATGCAAGAAATTTCCGAACAGATACCTCACATCACATTTAGCTCATGGAACTATTTTCAAGTCTTATTTGTAGTATTTTGACTAAGTGCAAACGTGATCATTCATTTATCTTGTACAAGGTTCCTTATATAGTATACATGTCAGGCACTTTCTGATCCTACAATCAGTAAATTTTAGGCAGTAAAGGTAACGAGTCTTCAGAACTCAAACAAATTGAATCAATTTTTGGATATGCATGACTTCTGCTCCCACATAATTCTACATCCACTCAAAAACATTCGTTATTTAGTACATAAATGAAGAGTTCTGCACTTCTTGAAAGCAATATTTAAAGTGTTGCACAAAACTAATTTGCTCAATTTAACCATCATATGAATCAACCAATATTGATCTTGATATTTTTATCAAGATATTTCCAGTAAGCTAAGAATTGAGCCCCAAAAATTTGTATCTCTCCTGCACATACACTTCATATTGGCCAGAGCACATAACTTATTATGTGAAAAAAGCCCACCTTTTTCCAGGGCCTTCTTGAGAGCCTCTGGGTCTGAAGTAATGGCCCGGATTGGAGCTGTGTTGAGTAGCACACTTAGCGGCACATAGTTGTTGCTGTCACTCTCGGACTGCATCGATGCCTCATTCTTGAACATGTTCCTGATAAACAAAGATATTTTCATTTTTGCTCACTAATTCTTGCTGTGTGAACATATCCTACATCTCAAATTTATTTCAATTTTTACATAGGCCTTGGCAGTGTACACAAGCCCAATTAATTGCGGGCTCAACTGAAAATGTTTATAATTCAAGCACCAAAAATGAGAACAACTATCATAAGAATCAATGACAGTTTTAATTCAATCTTTTAAAATGGTCATTTTCATTTTATTTAATTTATTTATAATTTATGATTATTTAGAGGCAATACAATTGTAAGAGTAAAAAAATATGCAGGAAATATCTGATGAACTTACGTGTCAGCCAGCACAGTTGCCAGTTCATTGAGTATGGTTTCACTAACAGTGGCAGTATCATCCCCACCAGTGTGCTCCACTTGACCATTTGCTAAAGCAGCACCAGGTTCAAGTGAAGAGTGATTCATTTGGGCACTAGATGAGGGTACTGATTGAACAGGAGCACCATATGTTTTGGGTGATGTGGGAGGCATGACTGCTTGGCTGCCATCAGCATTTGCTGCTTCAACAGTGACTGGTGTGGGCAAGCTTGCAGCCATATCTTCAGATACATTGGGTTGTGGGGGACCTATTATATTCTTATTACTATCCAGCTCACTGTCTTCACTTGGATGAGTCAGTGATCCATTGCATTCTGCTGAACTGTTTTCCTGCCCCAAGCATATGCTTGACATATTTATATCACTATCATTACTATTAGAAGTTTCAGTTTTAACTTTATGTACAAGTTTCTCAGAGCAAACCTCAGAGCTAGGAGCAGAACCAGCAGAGTCCTGCATTTCAGAGCAGGGAAGCTTTGAGTTTGAGTCTACTTCACTGCACATCAACTTGGACTGTTCCATTGTGTGTATGGCACCAGCAGTGGGAGTTAGGGCAGTAACTGAGCTGCACTTGTCACCAGTGACAATGCATGAGTGATCGTAATGAACACTTAAGTCACTAGCAAGTGGTGCACTGCTACAGTCACCAGGAACTTCACTTGAGTGGAAGACCAACTGAGACTTGACTGCTTGATGAGCACAAGAAGCCTCACTCCTCTGAACTGGACCACACGCACCACAATCAACTGTAAAGGAACATCAATAAATAAGAACAGACCAGAAGAAAACTACAGCTCACTTCTATGATAATAACTACACTGAGCTCAACATTCCTAAATTGATTGGTGAAATTAGGAAGTTCAATGAAGAATCAGTGAGAAATAGGCCTAATGTTCCCTTGTGGACAAGTTTATTATAAGTAGATGTTTTTAAAAGAAGTTTGATGCTTACAGTTATGCAATTGTAATTAAACTACCACTAGTGTCACATTTCATTAAGTTTGATTGTTTTGACTTTAATGTTTGTTAAAAATCTGCCCAAAATTGGCATTTGCAAACACAGCAAATAGAGCACAACAAAACATTGAAATGGTGCATCAACAAATTTTGTCTTACTTAAGGCGTCCTTTGGAAATCACACAGAAGCCACAGTGAATGAGGCAAAAAAAAAAAAACTGAGCTGATCAATTACAACTTTTTTTAATGGTCCTTGCCCAATGTTTTCAATACAACATAAGAAAAAAAAACACATTTTTTGCCTGCAAATTTTGGAGAATTTGGCCTGATATTAATGATTTTATGAGCATTAACCTTTTAATGCTGATCACGCTAAAGCAATAGTTTTATTTGTTCAAATGAAGCTTGAAAAGGAAACAAGGTATCTCAATTTATAACCATGACATCTAATTATTTATCAAGAAGTTTTTGACTACACACACAACTGCATTTTGTTGATGTTGCCATAATGTGCATCAGAAAGTTTATGCTCATCATCAAAGACATGCATCCTATTTAACTGCATGCTGTTCACATTTAAAGGATCTAAAAGAAGGCTCTCAGTATACAGTAAGGAACAACAAACAGATGATTGAGAATCCGAGTTTCACACCAGATCAAATGTTTGATCCAATTTGCAAAACAAATGCATTTACTATGTACATTTACCACCCAGATTGAGTTTGAATGTTACAGGAATCCATTTTCATCAATTCTTGGCAGAGTTGCTTGTTGTATTTCAGCAAAACATGCAAAGCAATTTTTCAAAAGAAAATACAATATAGTGACAAACGGATGGAATGTAATCTGGTATATCTGGCAAAACTTTTTAAATTGAAGGTATATATACTATTTTTTAACCAGCAACTTTCAAAAACAGTTAAAACACTAACAAAAATAAGTCATTTAAGCATTTTTTACTGAAGAATTTGGGAAAGGACCATAAAAACAGTATGGAATATATCTACCATTTGAGCCGTAACTAGAGCATTCAAACTATTTTTGGAGCCCTGAGCAATTGGCATTTTGCCAATTGCTCATAAAAATACCATCATTGTTTTACATTTACCACCTACCTAGTTAAGCAAAGTTTTCTGATTACTAGGGAACATGGTGGCAATCCATAGGTTATTCAAAAGAACCTGTTCTTATGTCATTTTGAACCGATCAACGCTTCTTTACGGACCGATCGTAAAACACCTTCACCGGCAAAAGCTTTTGCACTTCTGAAGAAAGTCAGCTGACAGCTACACTGGCCGTGGGGTCCCCCCCCCCACTGAGCCGGACCGGGCGATGCTCTTGCAAACGCATAAGTACTCACAATAATTCCCTGCCACCATGCTAGGGAATCGGGATCCAATCTTATATTCAATACAGCAATCCCTTGATTAGCACGGTTTCGAATACCGCGGTTTTGATTAACGCGTGAAAAAAATTTGCGACCTACCCTTAATCTAAATCTACGCGGTGCCAGTTTTGATAAGGGCAACTTTTTTTTCACAATGCATCATTTTCCTGCCTCTAGCCAGAGGTATTACGTTCGTAACAAAAGTGTTACTTTTTGCTTATTAGATCTTATGTTGTTACTTTTGTTACGACTTTTGGAAAAATTTGCCAAATGTTGTTACTTTATGAATTTCAGCCGCCAATAATTCTTTAAATAAGGTCACGTTCCATAGGCACTCGTGCTGACTACAGAGTCGGTTTAACCGCGCCTTGTCTCGTTCATAACTCGAATGGTCGAGTTCGGCAACATTCGCCGGTAAGTGCGCCATGCCGGTGCTCTAGTTACTCGTTAGCCTTCAACTGGTCAAGATCGCTGCCATATCTACTGCTCATTTTTATCAAACTACATAATTTTCCTTGATAAATTACCATCATAATTATGGATAAAAAGGAAACGCTTAAACGTAAAAATATCACTTTGGAGACTAAGCTTGAAATTTAGAAAAAAATTATTCATTTTTTAGAAAAAAAATATGATGAATTTTAGTGGAAAAAAAATTATTATGTAACTTTGCTATTTTTGAGGATTCATTATAATCATTTCCATATACCTATTCTTAAGTTTGATTAGCCCGGTTTTGCTTAACATGGTAAAAATTGGATATTTATTAACCGCGTTAATCAAGGGATTGCTGTATAGGGTAGAATTTGTCAAAATTTGCAGGCAAAAATGATAGCTGTGCATGTGATTTCAGATAGGCTAGGCCAGGCCACCCAACGCCGGGCACCAATGTACAAGGGAATTTTTTTCAATTTACCAAAGATATTAAAAAAGGGCCATAAAAGCTAGGCACCAAAAAAGTCCTAATTAGCCTATATTCTCTGCAAGACTGCATTCAAGGGCATTTTTGTCTCATTCACAAGTGGCTTTCACCCAAATAGCCTATCCTATTTTGCTATGGATCATCCAGGAATCATAACAAATGAGACTAGGATCAAAAAGTAAAATAAATATTCCAAGACAATAGTGAGTTTTTCTTCATGGAAAATGTGGGCAATATTTAGTTTCAGGTTTCACATAAATTCAAAAATAAGTGTTTTTAACTTATTAACTTAGAGACTGTCCAAGTGTTTCTCGACATTAGTCATTAGACACGTCATTACAGAACAAATCAAATACCTACACTTTAACAAGCTGTTAAACAGCCAAAGGTTAAAAGTAGGCTGCATAGTATAAAAAATATTCAAGTGTGAAAATAACCATCGCTGTGAGATTGAACAGGCCTATCGCCTAACCAATAACCATTGAATAACCATCAATAACCATCTGATTGATCAGAAAGTTCAGAACATCTCCACCAGTAAGTTGGAATCCTGCACTCCTATCGCCAAAAAGCAAAATTTAAGGTAGCCAATTATGAAGAAAAGCACACGATTTCCGAAATCTGAATGTCTCTGCATACCAGACTTAGTGACATTAGAACGTAGAATACCTACGTCTCGTAAACGAAAAGTATTCAGCAAACAGACCGTATCAAGGCCAAGCCAACTTAACGGTTCACTGAAGGTACAGAGTAACAGATAGTAATTTGCAATCAAATATCTTTTAGCAACAATTTTTTGAGCGGCAAATATACGTTGAACTAGTTATACACAATTTTTTCGATGTCGATTAGGGTTTTTTTTCACTAGCGCATCACTAACTGGAAGAAACTTTCCGAAAACGCAACTCACGACCAACAAGCCAAATTCAAGATGGCTACCGGTGACCGCATGGCTGCGAGAGAGGCATTCTGGGTAAAAGCCAGCGCCCTCTATCGGACATAAAATTTTGCTTACAATTATGCGAAGCACTCTAATAAAAACTTTGATGACACGTTGCTAATGGGTATTAATACCAAAATAAACTCGTTCACAACACTGAAATCGTGCGTTAATAAAATGACACATAATCGAACTAAATAATTTTTGTTGTCATATATGCGTAGAAGAGAAGCTCGGGTGTAACTCGAAAAAAAAATGCTGAAAATTTGATAATTCTTTGAATCACACTTACAGAATGGTAATAATGGAGATTTTACACAAGCTGAAAAGAGTGACACTGACACAACCGATCACGCTCGGGGATGGAGATGCTCTAACTAACATATGCTTTATTAAGAACGCCGTACGTTTCGTGGCTCGAAGCTGCACCGCTATCGCCTCAGTCACTTGACAAAATAACTTGAAACAAACAGTATTATGCCCTATGATAATATTCGGGAAATCTAACTTCCTAATAGCCAAATAACGCCAAAAATACTTGGTACATTGTTTTACTATGTCATTATATTGTGCGTTGCGTTGTTGAATTAGTTTTTAGATTTCGGCAAAGGAGCAGAAGAGGATAAATACAATTTTTTTCAAATGTACACGAATACAAAAAAAATATCAAGAAGTGTTATTAACAAAATTTTCTGCTAATAATAAAATTCTCTCCTAGTAAAAAAATATCAGTCAGTCAGCAATGTAAGCTTTTAAAAAAGGAAATCGGCTTAAATTAAATACGAAGAATCAATAAAGACGTATTAAAATAAGTAATGCCTCGTACGTAATCAAAATAATTAATTACACAGCCAACGACTGTCGTGGCGATGCCATAGTAAAATATGAATTTGCAAATTGAAGCACCCTATGGACTATCGGTGCATTAGCAACAAACCTAGATAATGAAAATATCAACAAAACTAAGACTAGAAGGACGTCTCAGCAGCTCCATTTATAATGATGAGGCAAAAGCACGCACGGTCGTACTAAATTTAAACGCGGATGCGATAACTCGCGTAGCGATCGCAGTGAGCGAAAGGCCATAGCACTCTGAGTATCGATTATCTGTCATCGAACGTCTCGCTGAGATCAAAACTTGACCAAGCACATGCGAGCTGCATAAACACGCGCGGCAAATACCTTGCGTAGAACTGCAATTGTATGTCCTATGAAATATCCTACGAGCTATATAATAAATGAATGTCTGTGAACCATTCCAATTGAAAATAGTAAGATCACTAAACCAGTCACTTATTTATCAGTAAAATATATACATTATGAAAATACCTCAATAGGATCACACTCGTCTGTAAAACGGACTCTTCATTTTAAATGATTCCGTATATCAGAATATTTTGGTCGGTTTCACATAGATAGTTTTGCACTGTCCGTAGAGAATCAATATCGATATGGGGTCTCACTAGGTATCGTTACTAAGCACTAATTTAAGGAATTTACAGCTATATGAAATTAATAGTTAGAACAATTGCTCTTGAAATCTTAGCGCCTTCAGTTATATGATCGTGACGTGATTACGGAACGTATCTCGTGATCGCTAGGTTACGTAGTCCTAAGTTTACGAAAATAATACTCATTTATTCATGACAAAACACGGAAACTAATTTCGAAACGCAGGCATACATAATTTTGATAATGCGTCGTTAGAATATTGAATGTACCTGACACTCTGCTCGGTCTATTTATTTAATAATTTTTAGGACGTCCACCTCATACGAGCTCTACATCAACTAACAAAAGGAATTTATATCCATAACAACAAATGAGACATATTGATCGAACAAAATGCAAAATTAATTAATAAAACGCGTTACTAAAACGCCTCATCTAAATTTTCATGACGGGTGTGAATCTTTCAGAAACATCACTTACAAGCGGCAAGGCCTTAGTTTTTATCGACCTATCCAAATAAGAAATTAGCATCTTAAAATAGAGATGCTATTTAAATTTTAACAGAGAAAGTACGGTAATTAGCCGAAATTTACAGACATTCATGCTTAGCAAGTATAATGTTCGCTCATAAGCATCACAAGTGTTAAATTAACAATAGAACAACTAGTTAACAAGGTCCGCAGAAGGTACGAAAGAAGAGTAATAACTCACCAGTACGAGCCAGGGAAGGAGTTGACGGCGCACCAGAGTTGAGCAGTACAGGAGGATGGCGCGGCTCATCAAACCCGGCAACGAGACGCCCGTCCTCGGGATTTGCACTGCGGGGAGGTTCCGAGGTGGCAGGGTCGCCGGACAGTGAGGAGCTGGTAGGTGCAGACGATGCAAACGGTTCTTGCTCGGACTGTGCTCCGGTATTCGACGATGAAATAGAAGCCCAGACCGTGATTTCCTCTAGCGGGTTGGTATCTTCTCCTATCTCACTTTCAAATGTTCTTGGTTCTTCTACTGCGTGCATCAATGTAGGATCATGAAAGCCATATCCATTTTGTGCAAGGAGAAATGCAGAAGACGTACTAATAGAATGACTTGAATCGTTAGATAAATAATTCTGCGTGTTAACTAAATTTGTGAAACTTGCAGCGCCGTGTATTGGACAGTTTTTAATGTCACCAAGCGAATTTTGGTCAAGTGCAGAAATTTGCGCGGTGTTAGTAGTCGGCGCACCGATGAAAGATATCTCCTTCACGGAAAACGTTAACGAGGCAGAGATAGGAGGTCCTGGGCGAGAAGTCACCGGTGGGACTTTAGACACAACTTGAAGATGGGTCCTGGGCGATGACGACTCACATGGAGAGAGTGACAAGGTCTCTCCAATATCCGATTCTGACTTGGAACGAGACGAGGGAGAAATGAATTCGGAACGCGTTTGTAAATCTTTTGTGTCAGTAGGCCCAACGAGAACTATTAAAGGATGTTGATATGCATATGAGAGGGATGCTACAGAGTTATGTAAAGCCGGAAGAGAGCACGAAAAAAGTGATTCACGCTGCACAGAAGAAAACACACTATCTGATCGAGGTGGTGCCGACTTCGAGCGAGGTGGTGCCAATTCAGAGCATAAATTGGCCGAACCAGCAACAAATGAATCAGGATAATCAATTTCAGGATCGGTGAAGTGGATATTTACCTCTGGAAGTTGGTAGGCTGATTTTGTGCGTCGGAAAGGGACATCAGTGCGGTACTGAGCGGTGCCTGTGAGGAGCGGCAGAGAGCGAGAACGCTGAGGAGAGAAGACGGAGGCGAATGACGAAAAACTGGAGGGCCGCGCTAAGCTAACAAAATTTGATTGATTGAAAATAATATCGGAACTAAGATGACTCGAGCTCAGTGCTGATGAGGTGCGTGTATGTGGGAGGACACACACCGACGGAGTGTCGACGGAATCATAAGGAAACGAGGCAGCAGAGCACAAAATTTGTCCGGAATTTAGTTTTGAAGAAAAAGAAGAAAACGGCACAGAAGTACCGATGTCGTTGGAAAATGGAATTTCCACACAAGAGGAGGGAGATAATTTATAATCTTCGCCTAGTGAAGGGTTCACGAGGTCAGATTGAAAAGTGGCCTGGTCTTCTATTGACGTTACAAAGGCTGCTTCCACGTCCTCATCTTCCAATGTCAAAGGTTCAGCGTCAGCTAAGTACGTCGATTGAAAGTATCTTTCATCGGACAGAAACGTGATACCAGCAGGATTGTACGGTTGGAAATCTACGGTAGATCTGTATCCCTCAGCCAACGACGACGGTGCACCACAGCAGCAACAGTAGCGTTCGTACGTGTCTTGGTATAGCGGCACGAAACACTGAGGTTGAGGTGGGTGCTCGGTGTGGGTGACACGAGGTTCGAAAGCTTCAGCCAGGGGGTTGAGGATCGGAGAGCAGGTGTCAGGGGAGGGAGGAGGCGCTGCCCGTGCTGTGGATACCTGCGAATGTAAAGACGGAAGAGGTTAGCGCCAGACCTTATTTATACGTGAGAGAGAACAGAAACATTCTTGGTATGCTCGATACGAGCAACGCGGTCGTCAAATGACTTACTATATTTGGTAACCTGGTACATTTCTGTAAGAAATAGACGAAGATAAGAGAAAAAATTCACGCTTTAATTCGTTACAATTAGTGCATATATAGTATACATTACAGTTAATAGTCGTAAAAAAAACTTGGTATATTATTTATTATAGGTAAAAAATAATTTGTATGAGGATCAGAAAATGAATATAAAATTATTGGAAAGTCCTTCACGATTTTTTCATCTGTATCATCACAATCAAGATTAGTGTAGTGGTCTTCTCATTAAAGGCATGTCTTCAGGTCGCATGAAAACCTACAATAACGTGTTTGGCCGCATGAATGCAGTTTTCGATTAATTCCTTGATAGTGGCATTTATTAGAATTTACCGTACTTGTTTGAAAGATTTCTCGAAACTTATCGATTCATCGCTATTCTTCCGATGTAATGACGACTGTTCATTTCAATCGAATCGAATGCACGCCCTGACTAAGCGCAGTTCATCAAGGCGATCAAAAATTCAAACTGTTAAATGGAGTGAAAATCTTCGTATTGAATCAAGATTATATTGTTCTTCTGACGTGCGTGCTGCTTCTCTGCGCTTTACGCTTCATTGCGCTTTACGCTTCATTTTTAATTGAGCTTAAAACGATCATAAGAACGCACAAATATCATAGAAAATTTACTGGCAATACGCCAATATTGACAGTAATGCACAATGCGCATAAGCAGATCATATAGATATAGCTACCTCTTGACAGTTATAGGGCAACTTCTCAATGTATATTCATGTTTGACTTGGTCATGACAATCTAGCGTTATAGTCACTGTATTTCTTTCCAGTTCATCCTTCCTTCTAGATATGTACGACAACTTATCGATGGCGCGCAAGATCCACGAAGGGAAAAGAGTTACTGGAACAGAATAAAGCAAAGGCAAGTCTTGAGTTAGGCTTTAAAGGAGCAGGCCACATTTAGATTGAATTATAACCGCGGATATATGCGGCTTCATCTGTATTCTACTCAGACAATTCAACTCAATACTCAAAAAATAACGCGGTAACTTTCGGACTATCAAAAAGTAACTTTATATGAGCTTATTTTCTTTATTGAAAACGATAAATAGTTATTAATTATTTTTGTTTAAATTAAAATACAAATAAAATTCAAGACCAGCACTAAATACGAGAATGTTTAGCTTAATCCCCCCAACTGAACGAATGAACTCCCCAAAACAACTTTGAGCTTAAAAAGAACTGAAGCTGGTATCTTTATAGTCATTTTCCCCGAAGACACTTCATTGGCGTTAACAAGTTGTGTGAAATATAAGACGTTTGTTGCTTAAGCACCAAATGATCGAAATTAGCCAATGCAACAGTTAGTCGATATCATTTCACATCGCATTGATCCCGGAAGACCATTGATTAAATTTTTCAATTAAAACCTGCACGCATATCGGGAGGCTGATGAGGCATAACGGAGACGCTCAGGAAAACATTAAAGAATTTTTACTGAAGTGAGACTTAATTCTAACATTGAACATGTTGCATCTCCTATAGGAATCTAAAGCTAAAGTATGAGAGGGCGTATATAAACGGTATAGGGGAAAATTCAAGCAGTAAGAAAATTGGATCTGCAGCAAGCAATATCCACTAAGGCCAACTTGAAAGCTGAAAACATTTATTCCAGGTAATCAACTGAAAACGTCTGAAGTAATCATCAGAACACATGCTTAAACATCATAAATTTTATCTAAGCTCAATAAGAAATTTGAGCAAACGACAAACCTTTTGAATAACGAAACATGCCGGAGAAAAAGCGGTGCAGTAGTAAGCAGAAGAATGTTGTTGTAAAACTGCTTCGTGATGACAACTGTGACTGGCTTCGTCAACACTGTGCATTCCTGCAGCCACTGACACCTTAGATGCACTTGCTTTCCGAGAAGTACGTTCATCAGCAGTTTCGGAATTGATTGAGATACTCCGCTGCGTAACGGGAAGGTTGGTCGCTCTTTTGGACTTGCTGAACTCCTTTACTTTCTTGTTTGCTAAATCATAATTTCCGGAGTTAACGTTTTCCAACCTACGTGCTTCATTTTCTTTATTCCTAACTGATGTTTCAGAGCACCGAGGATATCTTGTCCAGCCTTCATCGTCAGTAGCTGCATGATCATCAGTTGACAAAGGATATTCTATGTTTTGTCGATCGTTGTATGCCAGATCCAAAGGAGGCTGTCGAGAAGTACCGTGCCATCTATTTTCTTCACGAAAACGGCCTTGATTGAAATCATTACGATGAGGGCGTTGTTCACTGACGTGTCTTTCGTAATGAGGTCGAAGGAACTCAGCAAAGTTATCTCCGGGCTCCAGTGAAGTTTGATAAATTCTCCTGTCGTCAGGCATGAATCTGGAACGGTAATGATACAGTCCACGTCTTAAAGATGGGTCATTCATGAAATGAGAACGATCCCACCGAGTGCTAAGTGGAGATGATGGAAAGCGACGAGCAATTCGAAAATCTCTCGCAGGGCCGAAGAAGGAAGTGTAGCGATAAGGTCGTTCATCGCGAGGAGCCCACTTTTCCTTCCAGTGGCGCGAGTAAGGATAAAAACGCCCCCAACTTTCTTCTTCACGTCGATCAATCGATGATCCATACGGAGTTGACGGATTCAATTCTCCATCATTGAAACCCACAGAACGACCATGGCGATTGTAACCTTCGTAAACATCGCGGTCCCCGTATTCGTTTCGAACTCTGACTCCAAGATGGCGACGGTGCTCGAAATCCGCATCTGATGAGTGCCATGACGAACCTCCAGATCGAGAAGATCGGTTCGTGCTGTCAATGCGAGGATCTGGATGTCCAGCCAACAGACGTCGGGGAGGAACTCGTCGTATTGCACCTGTGGAAGACTCATGATAAGAGTCTTCATCCCATGAAATATTTTTGACAGCCCCCCAAGCAGGCGACCTCGGCCTTACCGCTGTCTGAACGCGGTTATTTGCCTTTGGTTGAGAACCGAGAAGGACTTTCTTTCCACTTGCTCTTTTCACGTCCTGGTTAGAGACTTCACGAGAAAACAATGCATTTTCATCATCGAGCGACGACGGTTGAGTGGCGTCTTCTTTTTGACCTTTCAAATATTTTTTGTTAAATTCAGGTATTTTCGCGCCAGCACAAGCATCCGGCCGACGTTTCTCGGGAAATGTGATATCCTCATCGCAGGGCAACTGCCAGAGATCATTTGAAGCATCAAAATAACCATCATCACTATTTTTCTCCAAGTCACCACACTTAATTTCCCGAGTAATATTACGAAATTGATCCAGTGTTTCAGAGTCAGCAATATTTTCGTGTGATATGGTCGCCTCCTCGTTTGCATTATTGAACGAATCTAGCTCGTAACCCACATTTCCACGGACAGGTGGTGGTCGGTTCCGCTTTCCAACATGCACTTCATTGGCTTTATTTCTAGGTTTGAATGCAAGGTGAGGTGCATCAAGCAAGTCAAAGCCTCGACCGAGGTCGTTGCTTGGTCGAGGTGCCGAAAACAGAGGAGCTGTGCTATGGGAAACACTGAGCACATCAGCGTGCAGATCACGCAGAGCCCAACTTGCGGTAGTGGGCTCAAATCTTCCCTCCCCATCTTCGCCTCTTCCCCAGGAAGACGAAGAAGATGGGGAGGCAGGTTTAGGATTATTGCTGCCGGTGGGAAGGGGTGACTTTGATGCCAGTGGGAGAAACCTAGCGAAATAGAACGCGGAGAAAAATAGATGAAGCGCTCGCTGGAAGACAATACCACTAAGAGTTATCAAGATGATGGATACCACAGTGAAGACTCGGTGAGATACGCTGAGCAGAAGCAGAAACAAAAGGAGTGATGGCAGAGGAAACAATATGGGAGGGCTCGAGAGGACACCCGTGCCTTTTGTATCAATGGTGAAGTTTGAGGTCTGGCTGAGAAGAGCGCAATAGGCAAAGCAGTAGCATGATGTCACTCTCGTTGAAAAAAGCTTCAGTGCACAACTTCCTGTAAACTTACTAGATGATCGATATTCAGTCAAGGGCACGGCTGAAGCCGGGGTTTGTCCTTCTTTAACGATATACTAAGCACAGAAAGTCATCAATTCGCGTTCAGAGAGAGAGGCAAAAAGATTTAAAAATTTAGTAGACACGCAAGATTTAGAAACAAATTTGTTGAATTACACAATTCACTTATTCTATGCGCAATGTAGAGTAGTCCAGATGCATGAAGATCCTACGTTTGATATTTTTCTATTCACATATTAATTTTAAATGATAGGTACTGTACTATTTCAGACTATCAACACTTCACGCTTGGTATTTACCAGCAGATTGATAACGGTAAAACATTGTAATGGACACTTGCTATATTCGATATTACAGCAGTTTTTTTTAACGCAGGATTAGCATAAAATAAGCTTAGAAAGAGAAAAAGTCCCAAATATATCAATAAGAATATAATAAAGCTAGATTTATTTCCTAATTTCCTTTAACCTATACAATAACGTACTGCACTTGAGAAACAGTTCCGTATACACGCTGTGTAAAACACAACTTTCGACGTACCGTACTTTATTAGTTCCAGTCTAGTTAAGATCCAGTGATCTTCATTGGTCTTTATTCTTAGAACTTCATACGCAT